GGATGGATGGATGGATGGATGGATGGATGATGGATGGTGGATGGATGGATGGAGGGATGGATGGATGGATGGATGGAGGGAGGGAGGGGGGGAGGGAGGGAGGGATGGAGGGATGGATGGATGGAGGGAGGGAGGGATGGAGGGATGGATGGATGGAGGGAGGGAGGGAGGGAGGGAGGGATGGATAATTGTTGTTCGTCCGTCAAAATCCACTAGGGCCATCGAGTCATCCGGTTAGAGAGGAGGGTGGGTTATGGAGAGCCCGTAGGTGGCTTATTAGATCGATCCTTGCTCGGAAAAATCTCTGGCACCGCGGGCAGGGGATAGTTGCTGCAGTCCGTGATCTACTATTGCTCTTTCGGGAGCGCCTGAATGTCTCAGCTGTGGTTATCCCCAGAGCCGTTCTTAGGAGTTTGGGGGCCCTAAGCATGGAAGGGGTCCGGGGTTGGAGCTCCCTCGAGCTGAGGAGAAAACACCACCCAACCACTGCGGCACCTTCATTCTGTCTTCATCAATGTTTCCTCTTTCCCACTGCCAAGCCCCCGATTTTCTGTCTGCCAACCCCAAAGCTCCCCCCCCTTGCTGCTTCCCTTCCCCTGCCTCCTAATTCAACTCAGAATGATAAATTTCAGGATGAGGAAGGTAACGTGAGTGACACAGACGGCTGCAGTGCCAGTTTAAAAAAAACCGGGGGATCGAGGACGCCTCACGGGACTGGCTTCATGAGATTTAGCCCCTTTAGCCCCTTTCTTGACAGCTGCTCTCCAACTGGCTCTGTCCTGGGCTGTCTGCACCCATTGAGTAGGGTTTATGCTGAAGGCCTTTAGTGCCGCTTTCAGTGAGTCTTTGTAACGCTTTTTTTTTTACCTCCTTGGGAGCTCTTGCCTAACGGGAGTTCTCCGAAGAATATCTGTTTTGGGAGCCAGTGGTCTTCCATACGGGCTACGTGTCCCATCCAACTGAGTTGAGACTGAATCAGGATGGTGAAAATACTAGGTTGTATCGCTCTAGTGAGGACCTCTGTGTCAGGAACTTTGTCTTGTCACCTGAAACCGAGGAGTTTCCTAAGGCAGGTTGTGTGGAAATGATTTAGCTTCTTGACGTGACGCTGGTAGACTGTCCACGTTTCACATCCTTGGAGCAATGTTGAGAGGACTGCTACACTATAGACCTTGATCTTCGTTTCTCGTCTGATACCTCTCCTGTCCCAAACAGTGCTGCGGAGCCTGCCAAATGTGGCACTAGCTTTTGCGAGTCTGCCATTCATTTCATCATCCATGACGACAGATCTAGAGAGAGTGCTGCCCAAGTAAGTAAATTTATCCACCGGGTTGAGACGTTGTCCACTGATGATGATGCTGGGTTCAACGTAGGGCTTACTGGGAGCTGGCTGATACATCACCTCAGTCTTCTTTGTGTTGATTGTGAGGCCAAAGTTATTGCAGGCCTCGGAGAACGCAAGACAGATGGATAAACAGACAGACAGACAGAACCCTTCCTTGAATAGTTGCTGTAAAGTTATCTTTTATTTGATAAACTATACAAAATATATAAAAAATTAATGTATGTATGTATTTCCCGTATGCGCTCGACGGCGCGCCTATACCATTCATTCGATAGCGATACCACTTTTGTGAGTTGTTGTACACAGGCCCGCAAATGTTTCTGAATTATTAAACACATTTTACAATATTCCGTTTTGGGCCCTTGGCCCTAAATTCTTTTTTCCCCCTTTTATGAGCTAAATATAAGTTCCGTATACGTTCCTATACCTATCATCCGCTTGCGATAAAACTTTGGTAAGTTGTTGTGCGCCAGGCCGCAAAGGTTTCTGAATTAGTTAATCCATTTTGAAATATTCCTTTTGGGGCCGGGGGCCCTAAATTATTGTTTCTTTCATTAGCTATGCAAATATAATTTTAAACAGAGCTATTGCATGGGTGGATGGAATTGAATCATATACAAGCGACATTTGAGTATGTGTGTGACATAATGTGGCAGTGTATTCCCCAACCCACTATTTGACCCGTTACGTAAACCATGTCTGGCGCCCAACTCAAGGCCGCGCGGTGTGTAGTAGCACTGGCGCGGTGCGTAACAGGTATCCCTTTTCACCTTCCCCCCCCCTCCCCCCGGACGGTCACTATACGACCGGCGCATAGGGAGGAAATAATAAAATACCACGATGTGCGCATTGGTTAGAAATTCAATAATTTATTTATCAGGAACCCTAGCGTATTAAGTTATACATTACATCTAGTTAAGACGGGGATTTTATTCACTATACCTTAGCATATTTACTAGTTTCCATCGTTGGAGGATATTTTAATATTTAGTCATTAAAGGTGTTTTCGCCTTCATTTATAGTGGTCCCCATCCCCTTCTAGTTAAAATATCTTAAAAACTATTTAAGTCATAAAAATATAAAATAGCATCTTAGATAGCTAAGACAAAACTGCACAGATTACATATAAGTCGTTAGGGATGTGGATAAAGATTTTAATTATTACTCGGGATTAGTCCCCAGAATTAGTCATTTTACCCCAGGAAACTGGCCAGAAGGCAAAACTTAGACCGACTCGGTTTAGGTGTGACGTAGGGGCTCTCTGATATGTCCGCGCACGCCTTTAAAAAGGGGAGCACACGAATTAGGGGTCATTTCGAGCTTTGGTCAGCATACCTGCATTATGCCTTTGTTCAGTGCGGCCCATTGGAACGCTCTATATTGTCCTTTTTCTTTCTCTTCTTCTTTCCCTTCTTCTTGTTTTCATCATAGGAGAGCATTAATTAAAAAGCTATAGTCCTCAAGACCTGATTGTTTCATTTTGATTTTATTTAAAAACTGTACCCACTCGGCTACAATAATAAGTAGGTTTCTGAATAGTACAACTATTTTACAATTTTGCGTTTGTGGCCGGGGGACTTATTTTTTAAAATATTTTTTTTTTATGTGAGCTCTATAAATATAATTTCAAACAGATCTATTACATGGGTGGATCAATCGCTACAAGTGTGTTGACTAAATTTTGAAAATCCAAGCTTCTCACACGGACAGCTGTATGTTGCCTGCTCACGCGTCGAAAAACCTTCAATATTTGTACGCACCAGACGGAAAAAACAAAACAAAAAATTTGCTATTTAATAATTACTTTAAAAAACGTAATCAAAACACACTGGGGGGTTTGTTTTTTTGGGTTTTTTTTGGGTTTTTTTTTTTTTTTTTAGTTTTTTTTGTGTGGCCATGCCGTGTTCTCACTCGTTAGATCTATTGGGGGGGGTATTATTGTGTGGGTACGTGTGTGTGTGCGTGCGTGTGTGTGTGTTTCTGTGTGTGTCTGTGTTTGCACGTATAGAATAATAATTATGAGTTACTGTGTTTTGCAAAATACAATAGTACACATCATATTTATGCGCATTGCATCGGATTGTTCATTGGCTATGGCATGTGCGTCTAAAAATGAACAAAACGAAAGAAACATCCATGGGAAATAACAGGATACATTTGTTGCAGCTTGAACAGAAGCTCTAACCTCCATCTCCATCACACAACCGAACCGATCAAATGCCCCGCGGAACACGGAGAGGGGGCGCTGGCGGTGCAAGGCGAGTTGCTTACAAAAGATTTGTTCTTAATCCCATGTACTTTCAATTGTCCTATGACTATGTGTTGGGGTCAGATATTGCTCTGTTTTCTGGTTAACATAAGATAAGATTCTTTTATTGATCAAAACAATTGCATTGTACATTTTCAGTACATAAAATAAAACAATTTAACCCACCAAAAATAAATTATCGGTATTGCCCCCCACCCCCACCCCACCCCCCCAAAACCAACTTTTTTCGGTCTACTTATCCGACATTACTTCAAGGGCTATTGATTGTTTATAATTTTTAATTTAGTTGTAAGAATTATATTATATATTAAATATATACGTCAAGGAAATATGCTAAATAATTAGTCTAAAGGCATTATATTGTAAAACTATTTATACCGAATTGTAGCATAAGCCGGCACAGTAAAACTGTTTTTTGCGGGGGTTCGTTGAAAGCTATTGGACACTTTGATGTACATGTCTCTATCGGATACTTTGATGTACATGTCTCTATCGGATACTTTGATGTACATGTCTCTATCGGATACTTTGATGGACATGTCTCTATCGGATACTTTGATGGACATGTCTCTATCGGATACTTACTATCTACCACCTACTATCGCAGCGGCCACATCATCGACTGTGTGGTGTACCGTGATGACGACAACTTGGTGGACAGCTGTACTGTGAGTCATATGCTCTCCTCTGACCATGCAGCGGTGCTCACTACACTCAACGTAGTTCCCCCAAAGAACCCACCTGTCTACAGGACCGTGCGTGACATAAACGCTATAGACAGAGCAGCCTTCAAAGCCGGCATTAAGACAATGCTTCAAGGGCTAGGTGCTGAGCTCAGCGCTCAGCATCTGGACGATGGCCTCCGAGCACTTTTGGACGAGCACGCCCCTCCCATGGCGCGACGTGTCCCGACTGGTCGCTCGTCGCCATGGTATGCAGGCGTTAGTGACCAACTCCGTCTGGCAAAACTCGTGCGAAGACGCGCTGAAAGACGCTGGGTAAAGACTGGACTGAGTGTCGACAGACAGATCTTTTGGACAGCGAAAGATGCGGTGGCAGAGATTGTACAGAGGGCAAAGGATGACTACTGGAGCTCAAAGGTCGAATCCTGTGCATCAACCAAGGCGTTGTTCAGCGCTAGTAACCGTCTCCTGGGCAACAGCAAGAATTTCACCCTCCCTACCGACATTGCACCAGAGCAACTCCCTGACGCCTTTGCGGACTTTTTCATCACCAGGGTGCAAATGATCAGGGAGGAGCTAGACAGCGCGACCCCTACACCTTCCTCACCGTTCTCGGAGGACGTTAGTCAGACAGAATCATTTGATAGTTTTCTGCCTGTGACTGAGGATGAGGTGAGGCGAGTCATCATCAGGTCTGCTCCCAAGTCTTGTGCCCTCGATCCTATCCCCGTCCCACTGCTTGTAGAATGCCTTGACGTCCTCCTCCCAGCACTCACCTCCATCATAAATTCTTCGATTCTCTCTGGCATATTCCCTCCCATTTTTAAACGGTCGATTGTCCTGCCCCTCCTAAAGAAACCCTCACTTGATCCAAACACACTCAAGAATTACCGCCCCGTCAGCAACCTCTCCTTTCTCTCAAAAATCATAGAAAAACTCATACTCTCTCAGCTCTCTGGCTATCTTCATTCTCGCAATCTCTATCCTTCCTCTCAGTCCGCCTACCGACTTGGTCATAGCACAGAAACAGCACTGGTCCGAGTCATGAGTGACCTCCTGCGCGCGATGGACGATGGCAAACTCTCTATTCTCACTCTGTTAGATCTCTCTGCTGCATTTGATACCATTGACCACCAGATTCTTCTTGACCGCCTTCATCTTTCTTTCGGACTTACTGGCTCAGCTTTAAACTGGTTTCAATCATATCTTTCTGACAGAACTCAAAAAGTCTCTATTTCCAACCGCTCTTCCAAACCTTCAGCCCTGTCTATTGGAGTTCCTCAAGGATCGGTCCTTGGGCCGGTCCTTTTCATCCTCTACACTAAACCTCTATCATCTCTCATTAGCCACCACTCAGTTTCCAGTCAATCCTTTGCTGATGACACTCAAATCAGTGACTCTTGCTTTCCTGATCAACTTGATGCCACAATCCTTCGCATACAGGAGTGCGTGGACGATGTAAAGCGTTGGATGACTTGCAACAAACTGAAGCTAAATGATGATAAAACGGAAATCCTTCTCATCCACTCTCAAAACAAACCTCTCCCTCCATTCGCTCCTTCTTCTATATCTATTGGCAACTCTGACATCACACTCTCTCCCTCTGCCAGAAACCTTGGAGTCACGCTTACGGACACCCTCTCCATGGACAAACATGTCACGAATATATGCAGATCAGCATATAACGAAATTAGAAAAATCAGCACCATTAGACACCTCCTCTCCTTTGATGCCACAAAAACTCTCGTCTCTTCACTCATTCTTTCAAAATTTGACTACTGTAACATTCTTCTCTCAGGCATTCCTCAACACCACATAGAAAAACTTCAGAAGGCACAGAACTCAGCATGCAGACTCATTTTTAAATTAAAGAAACATGACCACATTCAACCACACATGCGGCAACTCCACTGGCTTCCAATATCCTCTCGCATCAAATACAAGTCTTCCAATCTTTGCTTCAACTCGTTCACTGACCCTCACTTTCCTGTCTATCTCTCTGAACTGTTGCTTCCTTACATCCCCACAAGACAACTACGTTCTTCCATTGACAGTAGAACCCTCTCAATCCCAAGAACTAAAACTAAGACCATCGGTGAACGCTCCTTCTGCTTCCATGGGCCCACGTTCTGGAACCAGCTCCCCTTCCATATACGTCATAGTGAAACCTCGTCCATTTTCAAAAAGTCCCTTAAAACTCATCTGTTTAGGTCCGCCTATGACCTGTGATGCACCCTCCTTGCCCTACCTAATTTTCTGTTTCGGTTTAATCCTGAAGTGTCAAAGTGTCCTCTTTTTATAGCCATTTTCATTGTTTCTATAGAATAGTAGTTACTATCCTAGTGTCTCATTTGTATTTACTTAGTTTACATGTTTTAATAATTGTAAAGCGCTTAGAGCTTTATGATAAGCGCTATATAAAAATGCCTAAATAAATAAATAAATAAATACTTTGATGGACATGTCTCTATCGGATACTTTGATGGACATGTCTCTATCGGATACTTTGATGGACATGTCTCTATCGGATACTTTGATGGACATGTCTCTATCGGATACTTTGATGGACATGTCTCTATCGGATACTTTGATGTACATGTCTCTATCGGATACTTTGATGTACATGTCTCTATCGGATACTTTGATGTACATGTCTCTATCGGATACTTTGATGGACATGTCTCTATCGGATACTTTGATGTACATGTCTCTATCGGATACTTTGATGGACATGTCTCTATCGGATACTTTGATGTACATGTCTCTATCGGATACTTTGATGGACATGTCTCTACCTGATACTTTGATGTACATGTCTCTATCGGATACTTTGATGTACATGTCTCTATCTGATACTTTGATGTACATGTCTCTATCTGATACTTTGATGCACATGTCTGTGGTGAAATTACTTTAATTGTAGGGGGTGTTGGAACGACTCTCTGATCAGTGTCACACCTGCTTGTGTCTAGGGCAATTCTCTGATCAGTGTCACACCTGCTTGTGTCTAGGGCAACTCTCTGATCAGTGTCACACCTGCTTGTGTCTAGGGCAACTCTCTGATCAGTGTCACACCTGCTTGTGTCTAGGGCAACTCTCTGATCGGTGTCACACCTGCTTGTGTCTAGGGCAACTCTCTGATCGGTGTCACACCTGCTTGTGTCTAGGGCAACTCTCTGATCGGTGTCACACCTGCTTGTGTCTAGGGCAGCTCTCTGATCGTGTCACACCTGCTTGTGTCTAGGGCAACTCTCTGATCGGTGTCACACCTGCTTGTGTCTAGGGCAACTCTCTGATCAGTGTCACACCTGCTTGTGTCTAGGGCAACTCTCTGATCAGTGTAACACCTGCTTGTGTCTAGGGCAACTCTCTGATCAGTGTCACACCTGCTTGTGTCTAGGGCAACTCTCTGATCAGTGTCACACCTGCTTGTGTCTAGGGCAACTCTCTGATCAGTGTCAAACCTGCTTGTGTCTAGGGAACCTCTCTGATCAGTGTCACACCTGCTTGTGTCTAGGGCAACTCTCTGATCGGTGTCACACCTGCTTGTGTCTAGAGCAACTCTCTGATCGGTGTCACACGTGCTTGCGTCTAGAGCAACTCTCTGATCAGTGTCACACCTGCTTGTGTCTAGGGCAACTCTCTGATCGGTGTCACACCTGCTTGCGTCTAGAGCAACTCTCTGATCGGTGTCACACCTGCTTGCGTCTAGGGCAACTCTCTGTTCAGTGTCACACCTGCTTGTGTCTAGGGCAACTCTCTGATCAGTGTCACACCTGCTTGTGTCTTGCGCAACTCTCTGATCAGTGTCACACCTGCTTGTGTCTAGAGCAACTCTCTGATCGGTGTCACACCTGCTTGTGTCTAGGGCAACTCTCTGATCAGTGTCACACCTGCTTGTTTCTAGAGCAACTCTCTGATCAGTGTCACACCTGCTTGTGTCTAGGGCAACTCTCTGATCAGTGTCACACCTGCTTGTGTCTAGGGCAACTCTCTGATCAGTGTCACACCTGCTTGTGTCTAGGGCAACTCTCTGATCAGTGTCACACCTGCTTGTGTCTAGGGCAACTCTCTGATCGGTGTCACACCTGCTTGTGTCTAGGGCAACTCTCTGATCGGTGTCACACCTGCTTATGTCTAGGGCAACTCTCTGATCGGTTTCACACGTGCTTGTGTCTAGAGCAACTCTCTGATCGGTGTCACACCTGCTTGTGTCTAGGGTAACTCTCTGATCGGTGTCACACCTGTTTGTGTCTAGGGCAACTCTCTGATCGGTGTCACACCTGCTATTGTCTAGGGCAACTCTCTGATCGGTGTCACACCTGCTTATGTCTAGGGCAACTCTCTGATCGGTTTCACACGTGCTTGTGTCTAGAGCAACTCTCTGATCGGTGTCACACCTGCTTGTGTCTAGGGTAACTCTCTGATCGGTTCACACCTGTTTGTGTCTAGGGCAACTCTCTGATCGGTGTCACACCTGCTATTGTCTAGGGCAACTCTCTGATCAGTGTCACACGTGCTCGTGTCTAGAGCAACTCTCTGATCGGTGTCACAACTGCTTGTGTCTACGGCAACTCTCTAGAGGTGTCTAGAGGTATTTTGTTATATCGATTTCACGCACTAAGGGACATAATTAGCTTATTCATTTATGCTTAACTACAAAAGAGTTCATAATACAATTACTTAAATGAAATGAATTCTATTTATTTACAAGTGTTTTAATATATGATATGATAGTGAAGGATATGAAAAATAACTTTCATACAAATTAATCTGGGTTCTATTTTATTATGTATAATGGCTTCCCGTATAGTCTAACTCTCATCATAATAGTCGCTTTGCTTTGTATTACTATCGTATGCGATCAGACCTTCCAGACTTAAGTTATCAATCAAATTTTATGATCTGGCTTGATCAATCAGAAGTAGGATCACTTCAACGTGGAGGTGGCTCCTCCGATTCTTTACTTCGTGGCTTTTCAGGGCTCAGCGCTTCACAGGGCGTCCACGTAAGTAGATGACTGAGCGGTACTTAAGGAAGTAGCTCTGATGATCTGGCTATATCATTCACTAGTGAGATCACTTCAATGTGGAAGTGGATTCTCGGATCCTTTCCTTCGTGGCTTTTTTATCATTTGTGTTTAGCATATAAAATGATGTTAGCAATGCATTTTTGTGATGGAAACTTTTTTTTTAAAGTTCATTTATTAACTATACGTAAATAAACCCCAAGGAGGATTAATATTTTTTTTAAAAGTGAAAGCCACATACTATTTAGTAATATAAACAAAATATTTGCATCACACAACTGCGTCAAGCAGAGTGGTCACTCGACTTTTCGAGGCCCCTTTTGCCACTTTTTGGTTTTGTCCTCGCCCCACCTTGCATTGAAAGATTATTAATAAGACAATATACACTTCACATCTTAAAGCCCTAAAATATTTGAGGCCCTTTGCAGTTACAGTGTCGGGATTGCTGAGCTCACACGATAGTTCTAAGGTTAAGTGACACCTACATTTTTTAAACTAGCATTTCTTCCGTTGCTCTCTAAGAGTAGAATGTTGCAAAACTAAATTAAAGTATTTGTTAAAATGTATTCCTTTATTTTTAATTTATCATAAATTTACTGGGGACTATAAAGACTTAATAGACGATATTAAGCTAGGGAAAATGCATACCCTCAAGGACGCCACAATTGGAATGTATTTAGTTCAAGTTGGGCTCAAGCAAGTAAGAGATGCTACTAATTATGGCTAATTTTAGCACTTCGCACAAGAAAGTCTCAAATTCCCCTCAAAATTGCCTGAAAGAAACATCAAATTCAAGTATACGCCAAAATGTACCCCTGCATTTTGAAAATGTGCGACTATCTTCATCACCTTCAAATTCTACACCCCTTCCCCCACGCTGATCAATGTTACAGTTTACGGTTGAATACAAAATTGTGCCAAATGATTACCCATGGGCACGGCACAAACTGAATGAATTCAGTTTATGTATGCCAATAAATGCTATGTCTCCCTCTGATGATTGAAAAATTCCTTCCCCAAATGATATAGCCTAGGAGAAACACTGAATTCAGGTATACTCCAAAATGCACCTTTTGATTTTGAAAGAATCCAAAATTTGCTGGGGTGGGCTCCCCAGCCCCCCCCCTTTTTTTTTTTTACTCAAGAGCCCACAGTAACCTCAATTTCTGCCCTCTTTACTTTTAAAAAATGGCAGTACAGCTGGCGCTAGTCATAATTTTTGTTTATGATATATTCACTACCTAGTGGAGGGATAGAGATCATGAACAGTTTCAAAATTTGCTGGGGTGGGCTCCCCAGCCCCCCCCCTTTTTTTTTTACTCAAGAGCCCACAGTAACCTCAATTTCTGCCCTCTTTACTTTTAAAAAATGGCAGTACAGCTGGCGCTAGTCATAATTTTTGTTTATGATATATTCACTACCTAGTGGAGTGGTAGAGATCATGAACAGTTCTTATGAAGAAATGACATGCAGGATGGTACACGAAGATAGTCTCAAAGACGACTTTAAAGTGGAAACTGGAGTCGATAAGGATTTCTCTTGTCTCCCTTCCTATTCATCCTCGCCATTGAATGGATAATGAAAAAATCCACAGACAAAAAGAGGAATAGGATACAGTGGAAACTTTGGGAACAATTGAATGACCTAGGCTTTGCAGTCGACATTGCATTTGTTCATTTCTCTTTTAATATGGATGACTTTGTACCACGCTTCCAGCCTTTGGGGATGAAGCGTGATTTTCAAATAAGCTTTATAATAATTATTATTCTTATTTCTGTTCCGAAACCAGCAACAAATGCAGGAAAGACAAAAGTCGTAGCCACAATTTCAGCACAACTAGGACTCCGTATAAATAAAATAAAGACGAAGATCATGAAGGTAAACTCAGCCAACCAAGAGCATAACTCTCTGGCAGGAAAGGCACTACAAGAAGTGCAGTCCTTTAATTACTTAGGCAGCACCATAGACACAAATGGCGTATCCGATGAGGATGTAAGGGCTAAAATTGGACAAGCTAGATCAGCATGATGGGAGTCGAAGGAGCTGAAGCTGCAAACCAAAGTCAGAATCTTTAACACAGATATCAAAACAGTCCTAGTATATGGAGCAGAAACTTAGAAAACAACGGCGAACATTACGCTGAACATTCAGACCTTCATAAACACATGCTTTAGAAAGATCCTGAACATCAGATGGCCAAATATTATCACCAACAAAGATCTACTAGAAAGGACTCACCAGGTGCCCATTGACGAAGGCATCTTAAAGAAAAGATGGATGTGGATAGGGCATACTCTCCGAAAACTCCCAGATAGCATCACCAGCCCATCCCTAACAAGGAATCCACAGGGAAAAGGAAAGAGAGGAAGGCCAAAGTATACATGGAGACGCAAGCTAGAGGAAGACATGCAAACCATGGGATCGAGCTGGAAACACCTTGAAAGTAAAACACAGGATAAGTATAGAATTCTTGTGGATGGCCAATGCCCCAGTCGGGGGAAAAGGCATAAAAGAAGAGAGAGAGAGAGAGAGAGAGAGAGAGAGAGAGAGAGTGGAGTAGCTAGTGTTAGTGCTGATAGATACATAACCTAATTGAATAGCTAGTGTTAGTGCTGATAGATACAAAAACTAGTGGAGTAGCTAGTGTTAGTCCTCATAGATACACATAAAATCCTGCTCCTCCGTATAAATAAAAAGTGAAATCTGGGCTGACCACCCAACCCACCTCCATTGCAGAGGCGTAGCTAGAGTTTTTTGGCGCCAGGGGGCATTGATTTATTTTCACACACCCCTCCCCAACTCTTAAAACCATTATTTTGATGCGTTAAATACCCCACAACCCATATTGGCGTCCCGCTAGTATGGCGCATGGGGATTGCTGTTGGGACAGCAAATGCGAACGTGCGCCTTCCGTAAGTCTCAATGCGAACACGTGGTATCGAGAGTTTGCCACTATCGGATGATCGGAGTTGTCTAGCGGCTACATAAGGCGTCTTGAGAGCTTTGATAGGACGGCGCCAGGACATGCAAGCAGCGGTAGAACAGAGTTGCAATTTTGTACTCTATGCGAGCGAGGACCGGTAGCCAATGTAAGTCTCTCCTCAGAAGTGTTTTAGAATAGTCAAATTTGTGTTTGCGAAAAATAATGCGAGCCGCATTATTCTGTACTTTTTAAATTGTATCCAGGAGCGTAGCTGGAAGACCCACCATGAGAGCATTGCAATAGTCCATGCGTTATAGCACAAATGCAGACATCAGCCTCTTTGTTGCATCAAACGTTAAGAAAAGTCTGATTTGACTAATTCTGCGCAGCTCTAGAAAAATCGCCTCGCATAGCATGTTAATGTGATTTTCCATAGTTAGTGTTCTGTCTAAGTAGGTTTCGCACTGTTTGAGCAAACTCAATCTGTATACCTGAGAGAGAAAGAGGTGGTGTGTTATTTACAGATTTTAGCTTTTGAGCAGTAGCAATGGGGATCAGCTCGGTCTTTTCATTGTTCAATTTGAGCTTGTTTATGTTCATCCAGTGCTTAACTGACTCCACTGTCTTCTGTGTCATACTAAGAAGCTGAGAGTACTGAGAAGGGGTCACGGATTGTTGAAGTTGGGTATCATCCGCGTACATGTGATAGCGCATATCAAACTGCTTGATCACCCAAGGGCTGAACGTACATTGTGAAAAGCACCGAACCTAAAACCGAGCCCTGGGATACCCCGAATTCAATAATATTTTGCTTCGAGGTCAAGCCGTTTGCGATTACTGTTTGGACCCGATTTGTCAGATACGAGCGGAACCATCTCAGGACGGTGTCGGTGAAACCGAACGTTTTTTGCAGACGTTGTAGAAGTATGCCGTGGTCAAGCGTATAGAACGCTGCAGATAGATCAAGTAACGACAAAAGGAAAACCCTGCCATCACCACAAGATGACAGAAGGTGATTTACGACGTGTAACAGGGCTGTCTCAGTAGAGTGATGCGCCCTGTATGCTGACTGGAAAGGCTCAAACAAGTCACACTGAGTGAGGTGGTTCAGGAGCTGGCGGAGAACGACTTTCTCTAAAATTTTTGAAACAAAAGGTAGATTTGAGATTGGGCGATAATTTTCCAACACATTTGGGTCCTGATTTGCTTTCTTTAGCAGTGGAGTTACGATGGAGAAATACCTGTTTTCAAAGACTGATTTATGATACGAGTTACAATAGGGACTATTTCATCCAAACATTCGTATAACAGCCCTGCCGGAAGAGAGTCCAGCAAACATTAATTTTTCGGGTAGTCAACCAGGATTTTCTTAACATACAATTCAGTGATCTCCAAAAATTCGCACATAGGAGGGTCTTTAAACGGCAAGAATTCGGAAGCATCGGTGCAAATGTCAAGTCTCGCCCTGATCTTCGTAACTTTCTTAACAAAGAAATTATTTAGAGCGTCTGGCAACTCACCTACGGCAATTTTATTTGGCAAAGATGTGTCCTTCTGTTTACCGGTCAACTAACCCACAATACGAAATAAGTTCCTACAGTATTCGCCATCAACTGGGCGCTTATTTGTTATGTTTGTAAACTTGTTAGATCAACCAGTTTGTTGTTTTGATTCATGGGCTATATAAACAGACTTTATTACCACTAGTGATCAGGTGAACATGGACTGGCAGACTTCATTATCACAAGTGATCAGGTGAACATGGACTGGCAGACTTTATTACTTATTACCACTAGTGATCAGGTGAACATGGACTGGCAGACTTTATTACCACTAGTGATCAGGTGAACATGGACTGGCAGACTTTATTACCACTAGTGATCAGGTGAACATGGACTGGCAGACTTTATTATCACTAGTGATCAGGTGAACATGGACTGGCATACTTTATTATCACTAGTGATCAGGTGAACATGGACTGGCGCTGAAGATTTATGCAACACGTTTATCATGCATACAGACAATTGATAAGCATGTTCGTCAACAGTTCGATCAAGTAGAAAAACTTAAAAACAAATAAATTAGCAAATATTTCAATTACAACTGTATTATTATTTCACAGTTGTTGTTTTTCCCTCCTTTTTTAATATATATAATTCAGTTGTATTATTTTGCAGTGGTTAGAGGGTGTCAAGTCCTGCAGGAAATCATGGGAACAGCGTTTCCGTACTTTTTTGTGCTGATTAAAATGCGCATCATTTTTTAGATGTGTTATTTTGGTAACAATGTCATTCATTAAAAACATTGCTCGATTCGCAACAACATCACATGGATCACACCAATCCTAACACATCATGGCTACACCATTCATAACACCACATATTACACCAGTCCTGACACCACACGTTGCACCAGTCCTAAACAATACTGATAAAGTTCAATACTCTTCTGGGGTCGAGATTCAATCTCTTAGGACCCCGGCCATTAATCTCGCTGCGCCTCATCTTCTGGGCGTCACCGTAGAGATAGTCATTGAGGCAGGCCTCAGGGTCTCTCCCGTCGGCCCCCATCCCACTACTCGGACACGTGACCACCAAGTGAGCCACTGTCTCTTCTTCTAGTCCGCATAGGCGGCAATTTGGTTCCCTTCTGTCGTCCAGTCTATGGAGGTAGCTGCGTGTCGCGCAGTGCCCAGTCCTCATCTGGATGATGAGGCTTTGCTCTCCACTTCTAAGTTCCCACCAGGGGTTGCTCTTGCTCGGACGCTTAATTTTCCGGTGAGGCTGTCATCCCGTGGCTCCTTCTGGTTCCCGTGGTAACCTTCTGTGCCATTTGTTCCTAAAATGGTCTTTTAACCAAGTGGTGACTCCCAGCTAAGTCATTGGTTTGTTGGGGTGGGGTTGAGCTGCTCCTTCTTTGGCTAAGAAGTCCGCCCTATCATAAAGCGACGCCTCTGAGTGCGAAGCGATAAACTGTAGGATTACCTTAGAGCCTTTCTCATGGATGTTGCCAACTGTCTCCAAAATGGCTGTGACCAACCCTGTCCCTATTGAACCCCTCCCCACATTCTCGAGAGCTGATCGTGAGTCGGTGAAGACCACTACGTCCGGGAAATTGTTCTCTTTGCTAGGCGTTGGTGGACCCTTTTCAGAGATAGCATTATTGCCTCGATTTCCGCATCGAGGCTCGTTCTATTTCCTCCGCTTGGGCAGATAGCTCCTCGGGTGGGGCTATCTCTGCGGGATACTGGATAAGGATACCATAGCCACTGCGTTTTTCCTTTGTAAAGCACGAGCCGTCCATGAAGACTTTAACCAAACTATCCGTTAATCGTGTTTTTCCCAGCCTCTGATATATCTGGTTGAAGACTGACTTTGTTGGCTTTAGCGATCGTCATGTCAAGTCGTATGTCTGGTCGGGTAAGGCTTTTGTTGGGGCCCCGTGTGGGGATCACCTTCAACTTTTCCCTGTTTCCGGGTAAAATTACGTCTTCTTCAAGACTGTGCACCGTGTTCATGAAGGATGGCCTCTTCAATCTGGACTTTTTTACCCAATTGTCCTGAAGCTGGAACAGGGTTCTTCTCTTTCCATACGGCGGTAACTTTCAACCGTCGTAAGGACAGCCTTTTCCCGCCTGACCTCGAGCGGTTCAACATTTGACAGGACTTCCACAGCCGCCGTGGGCGTGGTTCGTATTGCCCCGCATACAAACCTTAGAGCTCGGTTTTGGATGCGGTCCAGTTCCTCCAGAGCCGTTCGGCTCGTGAAGGTTGGAGCAGGCAAGCTATAGTCCATAACCCCTCTCACACTACTGAGATAGAGCGATCTCAGTAGCCTTGCGTCCCTGCCCCATCTCGTGCAGGCAAGCTTTTTTACCAGTCCTAACTTCTCGGATGTTCTAGCACACAGTTCGCGTATATGGTTTTGAAGCCGGAGTTTTCGATCCAGCTTCACGCCCAAATAAACTGCAATCCTGTCCCATACCAATTCTTTCCCATTAATTGAGAATTTAATATCGACCTTAAGTGCCTTTCTTCCATTGGTAAACTTGCAGTAAACCGTCTTCTCTGTATTGACGACCATTTTCCACTTCCTCGCATAGGCTTCGATGCTATGGAGGTCATTTTGCAGCCGGTTCTTCTAATGTTGGACGTCTTTTCTTGAGCTCCAAATGACTAGATCATCTGCGAACATCGCATTATCGGATACTAATTCCTCTTGCAAGTCGTACACGTACGCCAGGAGCAGGGTGCGGAGGGCGGACCTTTGCGGGAGTCGGTCCTCCAGAACTAGCTGACCTGATAAACTTTTGCCAACCCGCGTGGCTATGGTTCTGTTCCTGAGGAAGTCCGTCAACCATGTGGACATGTTACCAGAAATCCCAAGCTTCTGGAACTTATACATGAGGCCCATGCGCCATACCCGATCGTACGCTTGCTTGAGGTCAAAGAAAACTGCAACCATGTGATTTTTCTTTTGGAGCTCGTTGGTCATTGATTGGACAAGACGGATTACCTGGTCCATGGGTTGGCGACCCTTTCGGAACCAGCATTGCGTCGGTGGTAGGCACTTATTACTCTCTAGAAACCAGTAGCGTCGTCCATTCACCATTCGCTCGGCCACTTTTCCCACACATGACGTTAGGGATATCACCCTGAAACTACTCGGTAAATGGCCTGGCTTCCCTTCTTTTGGTATCGGGACAACTATTGCTTGTTTCCATTTTTAGGTAAAATACCTGTAGTCCAAGTTCGGTTAATGAGCCAGCAGTAGTTCTCTCCCCTGTCTACCCAGGTGGGTTAACATTTCATTGTGAACTTTATCAGGGCCTGGTGCTTTTGCTTTCAAACACTTGTCTAGTGCGCTACGCAAGTCTTCCATTGTGAAGAGGGTTGTGAAAATCTCGGGGTGTGGTCCAACACGTTGGATACGAGCTCCCTTTTTCCTGAGACGGCGGACTTCTCGGTCCTCTTCTGTCTCGCACTGTAACGTTCACCGACAACGTGTCAGTGTTTGCGTAACGTTTGGACTCAAAGACCTCCACCGCGAGGTCATTCCTAACCGCTGTGGTAATGCCTTGGCATCGACCGCACTTGCAGTGGTACAGCGATTAACCGGTGATATGAAACAGCTTGACGTGGAGCAACGTTTCTTGGAATAGAGGTACATCCACATTCCGTTTGTGGAGTAATTTGGCTACTTTGTGCGATTTCTGCCTAATAACACACACGTTCAGTTGTAGAACAACTAGGGAAATTTGGGGGTGTCCCGTCCCACCCATACGATCTCGACCAGTAGCATTTTGGCCTCGCGCGTGCCTGTCATGCGTCACACGCGCTAGAGAGGACCTCTTCCCCTTGAGGACGTCCGCGGGCAGGGGTAGTAGTCCACACACCACATCAGTAGCTCTACTCGCTCCCACCCAGCCTCCCAGCAGTGGGTATCGAGGGCCTTTTGACGTCGTCACGGTCGCCAGGGCTGGATCACGTCCAATCTCTGCCAGTCGAACCTGCGTCAATGATTTATTTTGCATGACCATGAGTAGTGGGTTTGGGGCTGAAGTCTTACTCTCATTGAGGGGGGGGGGGCTTTGCGTCGCTTTCCCCCTTGCCCAGTGAGTCTTTCGGTCGGGACGTTTTCTGTCAGTGAGACTTTTAGCTTCAGGAGAGCAATCTTTACTAATCTTCCACGCCGCGTAGAGGCAAGTCTCGTGTGACACCGCCGAGTTTCCTCGGTGGTGTGGGTCGCTGACCTAGAGGCGTTCGGTCAGGTCATTTCGCGGATCCTAAACAATACTAAACAATACTAAACAGTACTAGTACTATCGTCACATGGTAACATCAGTCCTAATAATAATAATAATAAAGTTTATTTGAAAATCATGCTTCGTCCCCAAAGGCTCGAAGCGCGGTACAAAGTCAACAATATTAAAAGAGAAATGAAAAAATCTATATTTTACAACATTGAAATACAAAACGCAACAATACAAAAACTACATACGAGCATTCCATTCAAAGTCTTTCATCCTTTGCAACCATAAACAACACAAGCAAATATACATCTAGGAGAAAATAGCTAGCTGGAAAAGATGGTAGACAACATCACCCCAGCAGGTGTTTGCGAAATAGATGTGTTTTCAAATCGGTTTTTTGAAGGACTCCAGTGTCTGGCTATTTCGGAGAATGACAGAAAGGGCGTTCCAAATTGTTGGGCCAGCAAATGCGAAAGTGTGCCTTCCTTAAGTCTCAAGGCGGACTCACGGTATCTGTTGCCACTATTGGATGAACGGAGTGATCTACTGGGTACATAAGGCGTTATCAGCACTTTGAGATAGAACGGCACCAGGTCATGCAAGCAGTGTTGCAATTTTGTACGCTATTCGAGCGCGGACCGGCAGCCAATGCAGCTCTCTTAGAAATTTTTTAGCATGGTCGAATTTGCTTTTGTGAAGAACAATGCTTTTTGAATTTTTTTCTAACACATCATGGCTACACCAGTCCTGACGAAACATGTTACAACATGTTCACACCAGTACTAACACCACATGGTAACACAAGTCCTCACACATCATGGCTACACTAGTCCTGACACCACATGTCACACCAGTCCTAACACCACATGTCACACCAGTACTAACATGACATGACTACACCAGTCCTAACACCACATGTCACACCAATAATTACACAACGTGGTCACACCTGTCATAACACCACATGTCACATAGTCCTAACACTTCATGTTACACCAGTCATAACACCACATGGTCGTTCCAGTCATAAGATAACACGTTCACAGCAGTCCTAACATCATATGGTCACGCCAGGCCTAACACCACATGGTCGTACCAGTCATAAGATAACACGTTCACAGCAGTCCTAACATCATATGGTCACACCAGTCCTAAAGCAACATGGTCGTACCAGTCCTAGCATCACATGGTCACACCAATCCTAACACCTCATGTCACGCCAGTCATAAGATAACACGTTCACACCAGTCCTAACTCCACATGCCACATTAGCACAAACACAACATGATCACACCAGTCCTTACACCACATGTTCACACCAGTCCTAATACAACTTGGTCATACCAGTTCTAACACCAAATGTCACACCAATTTGAACACTTCACGTCACACCAGTAATAACAACACATGGTCACAAGGTCCAAACACAACATGGTCATACCAGTCCTAACATTACATGGTCACACCTGTCCTAACACCAAATGTCACAACAGTCTTAACACCACACGGTCACACAGTAGTGCTAAGACCATTTGTGGGATGAACACTATGGACTAGCATACTGTAGACAAAAAGTCCAGGGCCACCTTGATGTTCTTCTTATTCTGTCTGCTTTTAACGCGAAGATGTCCGTGGCAGGTACAGTTGGTGATCTGCTGTAAGGTGTCTGAAGCCTGATGAAGATTTATATTGTGGACTTTTAGGCTATCATTTATCAACGTCTATCAACCGTTGACGTGGTCTTCATATGTCCCTGAAACCGGAGTGCTGCCTAATGTGGTCTTGCAAGTTGAAAAACATGGTGGTTCACTGGCATTTTGGCCAGGTTGCAAACACCAAAACATTTGCTTTTGCCGTTCGGCCATAATAAACTGTCTAATGGGAGTCGAACCAAGCATTTGTTGTATTTTTTCCTGGTTCTGGTTGTGTTGAACATTCGCGTTGAACACCCTTAAACATCGCATCTTGGAGATAGAGAACTTTTATCTCAAAAGTTTTATTCAGATCCCAAGTCTGGCACTGTTCAAAACATGTTCATAATTACCAGATAAAATTATTTTTAAAATGGTGATTTAAAGAATGTTGCTACATTTAGAGATTCTAAGCAAATGGTAGTGATCTTTGAACGATTCCTATTTCAATTTTGTCCACTCGTTTTTAAGTTTTATTTCTATTCTGTTATTTTATTAGGTCAGCTGTGTTCACAGTGTTATTATACTATAAGTTTATAGTGTAAACAGGGCCGGGTTCATTTCTACACCCTAGGCCTAGGCCAAAACACACACAATTCTGCACCCTATACCAAAGCACACAATTCTGCGCCCTAGACTAAAGTACATAAGTCTGCATCCTAGGCCAAAGCACATAATTCTTCTTCTTATATTTGAGGGCTCACGATCAATGTGTTGATGATTCTGGCTCTGGTTTGAATTCAGAATTTGCCCTAGGCCACAGCACATAATTCTGCGACCTCGACCCCCCCCCCCCCCCCCCTTTTAAAAAAAATTTTTTTTTTTTTTTTTTNATCTTTATAATCTTTGAACCACATTTTATTTTTTTATTCAAGTCTACAGCCTTTTTCAAAATAATACCAGATAAAATGTTAAATATTTTGCTTGTTATTTCCTCTGTAAATACGCCCCCTGACTGATGCGCATATGGCAAACCCAATCTTGATTATTATTATCTGTCAGATTAGACAATAGTTGTTTTCTTCTTGGATGTTGTTTGTTTGTTATTTTTTAATTATTTTTTTTTTTTTTTTTTAAATTTGAAATTTGCTATTAAGACGGAGTAAATGATTTGCATCCACACCAGGTCGAACACACCTGCCGCATCTCCTTCACCACCTCGAAACAACCCACGCCCCGGCACATCAGCACCCAACTCAAAGTCAAAATCAGCTACTCCCTCTGGAAAGGGCTTTGGATCGGGCATCGGTGGCACCATTGCGGGCTCCTTCCTTGGATCAGCATTGGTAACTCGTTTATTTGTAGAGGTCTTCATAGGCAGGCTTTGAAGTAGTTCACATGGTGTCAGGGTTTCCACATGGGGTCGGAATGATTAGGGCTGCCACAATGGTTCATCGCCACGACTTTACATGGCTTCAATGATATAAACGTTGTGTGTTAAATGATTTATTTGTAGATGGTAAAGTGAACCCCCCTCCCCCAGACGGTTCTGCGCAGGGCTAACAACTTGCCACATAAAAACCCTTTGTTACAAAAACGCAGAAGAGCAACAAAAGACATTCCGGTCCTGGGAGAGGATAGATTCCCAGCTGAGGAATGCATGACGCCAAGTAGTGAAACTATTAGGCTGACGACCATCATCTTCACTAGGACCACCACCGCCATTGAAACATGGAAGGTACGCACCATGTATGAGACGGGAAAGACTGCACAAGTAGCCGCTGAGATGAGGAACTATTACCTCGCTAAACTAGGAATCGGAGAAGCAAGATGGATCGGTTTCGGACAGAAGAGACTAGTCTCAGTGGAGATGCTGTTATTCTCAGGTAACGAGGAGGACGATGCACCACACACTCTGGGTGTGACCCTGATGATATCTAGGACAGCCCAAGAAGCACTCATTGGATTCACATGGACCTGGAATCCTCACAGCAACTTTTCAGACCAAAAACACAGAATCAATTTGGGTGTTGATTCAATGCTACGCACCTACAAACGAAAGTGAGGAGGAGGACAAAGATGAATTCTATAACAGGTTACTGACCATTGCCCAGGTTCGCCCTCGGCGAAACATTGTCATTCGCATGGGAGATCTCAATGCCAAAATAGGCAACACGGGTTACGGAAAAGCCATGGAGCGACAAGGGACAGGAGAGATAATGACAACGGAGAAAGATTTGCTGACCTATGTGCCAAAACAAATTTAGTCATAGGCGGGAGCTTCTTCCAACACAGGAGGATGCACAAGGCCACATGGGTTTCACTGGACCTCCAAACGATGGACCAAATAGATCATGTTGTATTCGTAAAAAAAGTTAAGGCGATCTCTCCAAGATGTACGTGTCAGAAGAGGAGCTGACGTTACCTCAGACCACCATCTTCTAACTGAAAAGCATTACACTGAGCAGACAACATATAGCTTGCGCTACAACAGGCCCCTCCTGAAAGATAAGACCAAACATGAAGAGCTCAAGATCACTCTACCCAACAAGTTACAAGTCCTACATGAACTGCTAGGGGACGAGATGATCTATTGAAAGTGGCAGGGAGTGAAGAAAGCAGTCAAATCAACATGCCAGGAAGTGTTGGGAAATAGGAAACATACACACAAAGAATGGATAACAGCAGAGACATTGAAGGTGATAGAAGAGAGAAAAGGTAAGAAGGCAGAAATTAACAACAGCCGTACACGAGCGCAAAAAGTTGGGTTCTAAAAAGAGTACTCAGAAGCAAATAGGAAAGTAAAGAAAAATGCTAAGATGGACAAAAGGAACTTTCTAGACATGCTTGCCAAAGAAGCGGGAGAAGCAGCCTACCAGGGGATTATGCGGCAATTGTTCGCTACCATCAATAAGTTGTCTGGGAAGTTCAGGAAGCCAGAGAGACCAATGAACGACAACGATGGTAAGAACATACCAAATGAGGAGCAACAGAGAAGCAGATGGACAGAACACTTTGAGGAACTTCTAAACAGGCCAGAGCCAGATATCCAGCCAGCTGACAGTGACCTGGTAATTGACTGCAACACACCCACCAAAGAAGAGATCCTTAATGTCATCAAACAACTTAGAAATGGCAAAGGGGCAGGACCGGATGGCATCCCAGCAGAGGCACTGAAGACTGACGTGAACACCAGTGTAGAGATGCTACACACTCTGTTCATGAAGATCTGGGAGAAAGAACAGGTACCTTCTGAGTGGAAGGAGGGATACCTCTTTTTAAATCCCAAAGAAGGTGCCCTTAAGCTCCTGCTTCAACTATAAAGGGATCACCTTACTGTCCATCCCAGGCAAGGTTTTCAACCTCGTACTACTCAACAAAATGAAAGACGCTATTGACCCCCTGCTGTGAGACCAATAAGCTGGCTTCCGCACCAACAGATCCTGTACAGACCAAATTGCAACACTGCGCATTATCCTAGAGCAATCACTGGATTGGACCTCGCCTCTCTATATCAACTTCTTTGACTAAGAGAAAGCCTTTGACAGTGTGGATAGGCAAACCCCTTGGACACTGTTGAGACATTATAGAAAATAACGGACTTAATCATTAACTCCTATGAAGGGATGACCTGCAGAGTTGTCTACGGACAACAGGTGACAGATGCTTTCCAGGTGAAGACCGGTGTGAGGCAAGGATGTTTGCTTTTGACTTTCCTGTTTCTATTGGCCATTAACTGGGTGATGAAAACATCCACACAGCAGAAGCGGAATGGTATACAATGGACCTTGTGGGACCAGCTTGACGAACTCGATTTTCCTGATGATCTTGCCCTTCTCTCCCATACCCAAAAACAGATGCAGAAGAAAACCAGATCTATTTCAGCCACTTCTGCACTTATTGGTCTTTAATATACATGTTTCGCACTGGCTTCTCTTGTGAGAAATTAATTTCCTATTTTAAATTTATGGCTCGTTCAAACAGTGCCTAACAAAGGACGACACCATAGATAAATACAATAACAAAATTACGACACCCAAAACAGTACCAATTACAATTAATAAGATTTAATTTGGTAATAATACAATTACAAAACAAAAGAAATATCATTACAAATCATCGACTTACATTATGGTAGATCTTGTACCGGTACACACTTAACACAGTTAGTACAATCTGCAAATGAATAATGATAAATGATCAATGCGAATAAACACATATGAGTACACAAAGAATAATACACGTCTCGTGAAGGTAAAATATCTATCAATCTCCGTCTGAATTTCCGTGCCTGTCAATCCCTTATATAGGTGGGTCTACCGACGCGTAAGCCCTGCCTTCCAGAAGCTACTCAGCATTTGTTTACATTTCTAGAACAAATCGAGATCATTCGACAAAATACTAGGAGACAGTCTAACCATGTTTAATTGGTAAACATGACAGATCAAAAGAACTAGCCCCGCCCATCTATGAACCGAGCGTCTGCTTAGGAATCTAATTTAAGGTCAAGCAAAGTTAACGCACGGGGAAGTGGTGTAAAACGTTATACATAACAATACACAAAAAAGAGAAAGGTCTTCAAGGTCAATGCCACCAATACAGCACTCTTCAGGCTCGAAGAGAAGCGCTCGAAGAGGTGGAGAGCTTCGTCTGTCTTGGCAGCATCGTGGACAAGCAAGATGGGACTGATGCTGATGTCAATATAAGTGTTGGAAAGGCACGGGCACCCTTCCAAAAACTCAAGAATGTCTGGGTCTCCAAACACTTGTGTAACAACTTAAAGATCAGAACCTTCAACACCCTGGTGAAACCTGTTCTACTATATGGTGCAGAGACATGGAGAACCACTGCTGTGAATATGAAGAGAATCCAGTCCTTCATCAAATAACTGCCTCAGAAGGATTCTCGGGATTCACTGGCCTGACAGAATCAGCAACCAGAAACTGTGGCAGCGGACAAAGCAGAAACCGGTAGAACAAGAGATCCTCAAGAGAAGATGGAGATGGATCGGCCATACACTCAGGAAAACTGCCTCCAGCATAACTAGACAAGCCCTGAACTGGAATCCTCAAGGAAAACGGAAAAGAGGCAGGCCGAGGAACACTTGGCGCCGTGAAGTGGAAGCAGATACCAAGAAACTTGGCCATACTTGGGGGAAGCTGGAGAGATTGGTTCAGGATCGTGATGCCTGGAGGACTCTTGTAGGCGGTATATGTCCTAGGAAGGATCACAGACGTCGATGAAGGTCGGCTGCTGTTCCTCGAGGACAAAGAGGTGAAAGAAAGTGAGCATCTATTGGGCATGTATTGTGTTTTAATGTAAATTCTAATCCAAAGGGGGTGCAGACGAAATGTTTGACAGTTCACAAGGGTAGGTTTTGCCATCTTCACTATTCACTAGGATACAGACATTGGCAATATCATCTTCTCTATTAAATAGGGTACAATTGTTGGAAATGTCATCTTCTCTATTCACTGAGGTACAGTTATTGACAATGTCATCTTCTCTATTCACTAGGGTACAGTTGTTGGAAATGTCATCTTCTCTATTCACTAGGGTACAGTTGTTGACAATGTCATCTTCTCTATTGACTAGGGTACAGTTATTGACAATGTCATCTTCTCTATTTACTAGGGTTCGGTTATTGACAATGTCATCTTCTCTATTCACTAGGGTACAGTTGTTGGAAATGTCATCTTCTCTATTCACTAGGGTATAGTTGTTGACAATGCCATCTTCTCTATTCACTAGGGTACAGTTGTTGACAATGCCATCTCATCTATTCACTAGGGTACAGTTTTTGACAATGTCATCTTCTCTATTCACTAGGGTACAGTTGTTGACAATGTCATCTTCTCTATTGACTAGGGTACAGTTATTGACAATGTCATCTTCTCTATTTACTAGGGTTCGGTTATTGACAATGTCATCTTCTCTATTCACTAGGGTACAGTTGTTGGAAATGTCATCTTCTCTATTCACTAGGGTATAGTTGTTGACAATGCCATCTTCTCTATTCACTAGGGTACAGTTGTTGACAATGCCATCTCATCTATTCACTAGGGTACAGTTTTTGACAATGTCATCTTCTCTATTCACTAGGGTACAGTTGTTGACAATGTCATCTTCTCTATTCACTAGGGTACAGTTGTTGACAATGGCATCTTCTCTATTCACTAGGGTACAGTTGTTGACAATGGCATCTTCTCTATTCACTAGGGTACAGTTGTTGACAATGTCATCTTCTCTATTGACTAGGGTACAGTTATTGACAATGTCATCTTCTCTATTTACTAGGGTTCGGTTATTGACAATGTCATCTTCTCTATTCACTAGGGTACAGTTGTTGGAAATGCCATCTTCTCTATTCACTAGGGTATAGTTGTTGACAATGCCATCTTCTCTATTCACTAGGGTACAGTTGTTGACAATGTCATCTTCTCTATTCACTAGGGTACAGTTGTTGACAATGTCATCTTCTCTATTCACTAGGGTACAGTTGTTGACAATGTCATCTTCTCTATTCACTAGGGTACAGTTGTTGACAATGTCATCGTCTCTATTCACTAGGGTACAGTTGTTGGAAACGCCATTGCCTCCAAGATGTTTGCAGGCAGAGACCCTGACACAGGGACTATTGAAGACAGAGACTCAGCAGACAGCAATCCCTGCAAGAAAGAACTGGATTACTTCCTGGAGTGTGCCAAGTAACTACACCTGACTTAACCTATAGGCCTGTTATTTAAATATACACCTGTTATTAAGCTATACGCCTGCCGTTAAACTATGCATCTGCCATTAAACTAAACATCTCCCATTAAATTATACACCTGTCATTTAACTATACACCTGCCATTAAACTAAACAATACACCAGCCATTAAACTATACACCTGTCGTTTAACTATACACCTGCCATTAAACTATACATATATTGTTTAACTTTATTCTTTATTCTTTTCAATGAACTATCTACTTGAGATAAACTAGTCATATGTCATTTAGCTATACATCTATCATTTTATGATACATCTGTCAATTAAGTATAAACCTAGTATAAACAATAAAACACTTGACAAGAATTCTACAACTACAAGACCAGTGCAACTGACGATGTACATGTAAATGAACATATTGATCAAATACTTCTCAAATGTCATCTGAAGTTTTCTGATCAAAAAGAGTCCAAAACTCCATTAAAATATTCAAACATTTACTCATGACTGTATTAGTTGTTGCATAAAGTTGATGTGATTTGCTTTTGTACTAGTTATTACACTAGCTCTAGCCCGCCAAACAATGGCAGCTGAAATGCGTGAACTTCCTATCTATTCAAGATACTTGACAAAACATGCATTCAAGTAACGCACCTTAGGGGCCTTCCATAAAGTACGTCACACTATTTTTTACCATTTTAACCCCCCCTCCCCCCCCCCGTCACAAACTGTCACAAATCTCGAATAACCCCTCCCCCCCCCCCCCCCAAAGTACGTCACACTTTCGAAAAAAATTTTTTTTAATTAACACCTAATTAAAATTTAATCTAAAACACACTTCACTATTAAACTGTATTAAAATATAAAGTTTCCACTTAAAAGAAATATCACATTATTAAAATGACTTTAATAGTAGAATGGTTACTAGCGCTCCTAGCGAGAGAAATCGTGAACAACACATTCAGGAGATACTCATTTCATGCTATTTTGACATAAAACTAATTCAAATTTTTCACAAAATTTTGGAAAATTATTTTTAAAGCTATTAAATTCTACAAATTTTTTTTTTTTAAATAAATTAGAAATAAAATTTAAAAAAATAAATGTGTGATGTCACGCATGGGGTGGACCCCCCCCTCCTTCCCCCTGTCACAAACTGTCACACTGTCTTACACCCCCTCCCCTCTCTGGACCGTGACGTACTTTATGGACGGCCCCTTATAAGATTCTCAATTAGATTCTTATCCCCGTTACGCCACCACCCCTGAGGTATATCAGTATTCTTATGTCTCACCTCCTTTTACACTGCAGATTTATTACATCAACTATTTTCCAAAAAACAAAAGAAAACATTACGCACCAAACGCATTTAATTTGTGGTATTTTTAAGAATCTCATTTAGTGCAGTTATCGAAAATTGTATTTAGTGAATTCAGCGCCATCGGGTAGTGTTATTGACATTGTTACATAGAGAATGATGCATTTGATGATATGTATATGATTAGTCCATTTAACTAGATTTTTCTAACAGATATTCTGGTGACCCATCCTATTGTAAAGGTGCATCTGAAGCACTGAAGAAATGTGCAGACAAAAATCGAGGTAATTTCTAATTTTAGGGACTGCAGACCGTTTTTAAAAATTAAAACTTTTTACAGAAACTCTTTAGCTCTGTTTCTTAGGATCCTATTGTAGGTGAATGTGACTTAAGTCAGGATAGATTGCAATCGGTTAAGACCATCTGATGTTTGGGATCTGACTTCGGTTGAGACCATCAGATGTTTGGGGTCTGGCCTCAGTTGAGAATATCTAATGTTTGGGATCTGACCTCGGTTGAGACCATCTGATGTTTGGGGTCTGGCCTCAGTTGAGACAATCTGATTTTGGGGGGTCTGGCCATGATTGAGACAATCTGATGTTTGGGGTCTGGCCTCAGTTAAGAATATCCAATGTTTGGGATCTGATCTCGGTTCAGACTATCTAATGTTTGGGGTCTGGTCTTGATTGAGACAATGTGATGTTTGGGGTCTGGCCTCAGTTGAGAATATCTAATGTTTGGGATCTGATCTCGTTTGAGACCATCTGTTTGGGGTCTGGCCTCGGTTGAGACCATCTGTTTGGGGTCTGGACTCGGTTGAGACCACCTGATGTTGGGGTCTGGCCTCATAGAAGCATAGAACAGAGGTAAGACTTAATGTAAAGAGTTAAAATAAAACCTCGCTTAAAACATGTCTTCTCCTGCAGTTTCTTGGTTTATGCTAAAAATGTTGTTTAGTAACTATTCTTTATTTTCTCCATAACCAGATTACTTCCAGGATGATTGAGACCTCAAATTCAGATTAACAAGTTTGTAACACTGGACCTACGGGTGCCAAACAAATATACTGAAACATAAAACATCAATTTGTTCAAGATGGCTGTAACACCATATACTTAAAGGAAATGTACAAGTGAATTCGTTTTTTAGTCACTTCTGGTCTGCAAAACACTTGTACTAATTCAATTGTGCTAACTGCTATTTCCTTTATACCAATAACTAATTCACTTGTACCAAAAACTAATTCACTTGTAACAATAACTAATTCACTTGTAACAATAACTAATTCCCTTGTACCAATAACTAATTCCCTTGTACCAAAAACTAATTCACTTGTAACAATAACTAATTTACTTGTCCCAATAACTAATTCTCTTGTACCAATAACTAATTCCCTTGTACCAATAACTAATTCCCTTGTACCAATAACTAATTCCCTTGTACCAATAACTAATTCCCTTGTACCAAAAACTAATTCACTTTTAGCAATAACTAATTCTCTTGTCCCAATAACTAATTCACTTTGCCAATAACTAATTCCCTTGTACCAAAAACTAATTCACTTGTAACAATAACTAATTCTCTTGTCCCAATAACTAATTCACTTGTCCCAATAACTAATTCACTTGTCCCAATAGCTAATTCACTTGTCCCAATAACTAATTCCCTTGTATCAAAAACTAATTCACTTGTAACAATAACTAATTCCCTTGTACCAAAAACTAATTCACTTGTAACAATAACTAATTCTCTTGTACCAATAACTAATTCACTTGTCCCAATAACTAATTCCCTTGTATCAAAAACTAATTCACTTGTAACAATAACTAATTCCCTTGTACCAAAAACTAATTCACTTGTAACAATAACTAATTCTCTTGTACCAATAACTAATTCACTTGTCCCAATAACTAATTCACTTGTCCCAATAACTAATTCACTTGTCCCAATAACTAATTCACTTGTCCCAATAACTAATTCACTTGTCCCAATAACTAATTCACTTGTCCCAATAAGTAATTTACTTGTACTAAAATTGTAAAATGTGGGCTTCATGTTAAGATAATAAAGAGTTTATCCCTAAAGTAATGGTGGGAATTCCATCTCAAATAACTTAAACCTCTTAAGTCACACCGACTAACCAAAGAATGCTTTCACTTATTTTACTTCTTAAGCTGCATCGCATGGTTGAATTTAGATCACTTAAAATTAACAAGTTAGCGTTTGGAATAAGCAAGAGCTGTCATTTTAAACTGTTTGTCACAAGAATAATAGACAGAAATAAGACCCTCATAAAACAATAACTATGTATTATTGCAGATCTGACAACTTAACACATGATGCATGAATAAGATTTAAACAAATTAAGTCACTTTAATAATATTTATTTATTGATCTATTTTCTCTGTTTCTGTCAACAAATGTCCAATACATATTTAAAGATTTTATAATGAACAAAATTTAAGTTTCAAGCACCTTTTTCACTGGTTATAATAATAGCAAGTCCTGGAGAAAATAAAAGGCATTGTCAGTCTCCTACTTATTTTTTGTTTCAAACTGTAATGAAAAAATGAAACACAGGATGTCATTTGCAGTGTAAATAGTTGAGTAGAGTTTTTTTTAAACATATATCTCTATAAATATAAGTCATTAAATTTAAAGGTTTTATTATCAACACCCATTATCAATGCCTTTGATTGGGTGTAGTATAGAGGCCATCTGCCTAACTGTGCCACCTATTAAGGACAGATTACAAAGCATCTTATAATAGATCAAGGGTGTTAGCATTTGTCTGTAGGTGGGTGGCCCTGACCATTCCATTTTAGAACAGTCTCAAACCATTCTTTTTTTTTTAAACAGATCCAAAAGAGAAATTTTTGTAATTTCATAAATTATACACCATCCAAGACCATAAAATCAATTCCAATACAACTCAAATATTTCTTTTACCTATTTTAATAATACTTGGTATTTAGCTTTATGATAAAAAAATTTCACCAGCTCAAATTATTTTTTAAAACAACAAAATATAAAATGCCAAGACAAAAATAGTTAAAAATAAAATTAATCAAATTTATTTAACTAGAGCCCACCACAACATTTACAATCACAGACATTTTTATAAAGGAAACAAATAATCTCCAAAAGTTTATAAATGTATACATATATTTCCTTTAACATAATTCAGAACCTGATAGTGGTACCTGAGAGCAGTGGCGTAGCTAGGGTTGGTGTCACCCGGTGCGGTAAACTCATGGTGTCACCCCCTCCCCCCCCCCCCCCCCAACTTCTATGATCGATTTTTTCTTGTTAAAATAAGTCCTCAGTATAGCATCAACCTTGAACTTTTAATAAAGCATGCATTTGGATTGGTTACATTTGTGAAAAATATATGAGTGATCGGTTATTCTTTTATGAATCTCGATTTTTGCTAGCAATGTGTGCCCTGTAAATATGCAATTTTTCAATCGGGTGTCACACCTAAAATGGTGTCACCCGTTGCGGTCCGCAACCCCCGCACCTGCCTCGCTACGCCACTGCCTGAGAGAGGTCAATGTGATACTTATTAGTGAATTAATTTTCACAATTCATCTTTTCAATGAGCTTTAAATGAGCTATTTTATTTTTTAAAAGGGGGAAATGATTTGGAGGGAAAAATAGATAAAACAAAAGAGAGAACAAAATGACATGTTCACCATTTGAAAACATATCAATAGTTAGAGGGTGAATACACGCTGAAAACTTTGAGTTAAATGCTTAATGGTCTAAGATTGGTTGATAACACATGGTCACATTTCTCAGTCATCATTGCCAGCTGCTGTTTTCTTTGTGTTGAGTCCAATTTCCTTAACAAGGGCGAGTAAGTCAACCAGTTCTTTAGTCAGAGCAGCATCCTGTTCATTGTTGGGCTCAAACTTCAATTTGACTTGTTTGATAATTAGCTCTAGGGAAATTAAGAGTTAGTTCTTTCAATGTGTTTAAGGGGTAAATTTGAGTTGCAATATTTGGTTAGCTCAAAATTAAAAATAGGTTGCAAGAGAATAAAGTTAAAGAGATCAACTATTAGACCAAAGAATAAAGAAATCAACTAATAGACCAAAGAATAAAGAGATCAACTATTAGACCAAAGAATAAAGAGATCAACTATTAGACCAAAGAATAAAGAGATCAACTATTAGACCAAAGAATAAAGAGATCAACTATTAGACCAAAGATTAAAGAGATCAACTATTAGACCAGAGAATAAAGAGATCAACTATTAGACCAAAGAATAAAAAGATCAACTATAACACCAAAGAATAAAGAGATCAACTATTAGACCAAAGAATAAAGAGATCAACTATTAGACCAAAGAATAAAGAGATCAACTATTAGACCAAAGAATAAAGAGATCAACTATTAGACCAAAGAATAAAGAGATCAACTATTAGACCAAAGAATAAAGAGATCAACTATTAGACCAAAGAATAAAGAGATCAACTATTAGACCAAAGAATAAAGAGATCAACTATTAGACCAAAGAATAAAGAGATCAACTATTAGACCAGAGAATAAAGAGATCAACTATTAGACCAAAGAATAAAGAGATCAACTATTAGACCAAAGAATAAAGAGATCAACTATAGACCAAAGAATAAAGAGATCAACTATTAGACCAAAGAATAAAGAGATCAACTATTAGACCAAAGAATAAAGAGATCAAGTATTAGACCAAAGAATAAAGAGATCAACTATTAGACCAAAGAATAAAGAGATCAACTATTAGACCAAAGAATAAAGAGATCAACTATTAGACCAAAGAATAAAGAGATCAACTATTAGACCAAAGAATAAAGAGATCAACTATAACACCAAAGAATAAAGAGATCAACTATAACACCAAAGAATAAAGAGATCAACTATTAGACCAAAGAATAAAGAGATCAACTATTAGATCAACTATTAGACCAAAGAATAAAGAGATCAACTATTAGATCAACTATTAGACCAGAGAATAAAGAGATCAACTATTAGATCAACTATTAGACCAAAGAATAAAGAGATCAACTATTAGACCAAAGAATAAAGAGATCAACTATTCGACCAAAGAATAAAGAGATCAACTATTAGATCAACTATTAGACCAAAGAATAAAGAGATCAAGTATTAGATCAACTATAAGACCAGAGAATAAAGAGATCAACTATGAGATCATCTATTAGACCAAAGAATAAAGAGATCAACTATTAGACCAGAGAATAAAGAGATCAACTATTAGATCAACTATTAGACCAAAGAATAAAGAGATCAACTATTAGACCAAAGAATAAAGAGATCAACTATTCGACCAAAGAATAAAGAGATTAGATCAACTATTAGACCAAAGAATAAAGAGATCAACTATTAGATCAACCATTAGACCAGAGAATAAAGAGATCAACTATTAGATCAACTATTACACCAAAGAATAAAGAGATCAACTATTAGACCAAAGAATAAAGAGATCAACTATTAGACCAAAGAATAAAGAGATCAACTATTAGACCAAAGAATAAAGAGATCAACTATTAGACCAAAGAATAAAGAGATCAACTATTAGACCAAAGAATAAAGAGATCAACTATTAGACCAAAGAATAAAGAGATCAACTATTAGACCAAAGAATAAAGAGATCAACTATTAGACCAAAGAATAAAGAGATCAACTATTAGACCAAAGAATAAAGAGATCAACTATTAGACCAAAGAATAAAGAGATCAACTATTAGACCAAAGAATAAAGAGATCAACTATTAGACCAAAGAATAAAGAGATCAACTATTAGACCAAAGAATAAAGAGATCAACTATTAGACCAAAGAATAAAGAGATCAACTATTAGACCAAAGAATAAAGAGATCAACTATTAGACCAAAGAATAAAGAGATCAACTATTAGACCAAAGAATAAAGAGATCAACTATTAGACCAAAGAATAAAGAGATCAACTATTAGACCAAAGAATAAAGAGATCAACTATTAGACCAAAGAATAAAGAGATCAACTATTAGACCAAAGAATAAAGAGATCAACTATTAGACCAAAGAATAAAGAGATCAACTATTAGACCAAAGAATAAAGAGATCAACTATTAGACCAAAGAATAAAGAGATCAACTATTAGACCAAAGAATAAAGAGATCAACTATTAGACCAAAGAATAAAGAGATCAACTATTAGACCAAAGAATAAAGAGATCAACTATTAGACCAAAGAATAAAGAGATCAACTATTAGACCAAAGAATAAAGAGATCAACTATTAGACCAAAGAATAAAGAGATCAACTATTAGACCAAAGAATAAAGAGATCAACTATTAGACCAAAGAATAAAGAGATCAACTATTAGACCAAAGAATAAAGAGATCAACTATTAGACCAAAGAATAAAGAGATCAACTATTAGACCAAAGAATAAAGAGATCAACTATTAGACCAAAGAATAAAGAGATCAACTATTAGACCAAAGAATAAAGAGATCAACTATTGACCAAAGAATAAAGAGATCAACTATTAGACCAAAGAATAAAGAGATCAACTATTAGACCAAAGAATAAAGAGATCAACTATTAGAAAAAAGAATAAAGAGATCAACTATTAGACCAAAGAATGAAGAGATCAACTATTAGATCAACTATTAGACCAAAGAATAAAGAGATCAACTATTAGATCAACTATTAGACCAGAGAATAAAGAGATCAACTATTAGATCAACTATTAGACCAAAGAATAAAGAGATCAACTATTAGACCAAAGAATAAAGAGATCAACTATTCGACCAAAGAATAAAGAGATCAACTATTAGATCAACTATTAGACCAAAGAATAAAGAGATCAACTATTAGATCAACTATTAGACCAGAGAATAAAGAGATCAACTATTAGACCAAAGAATAAAGAAATCAACTATTAGACCAAAGAATAAAGAGATCAACTATAAGACCAAAGAATAAAGAGATCAACTATTAGACCAAAGAATAAAGAGATCAACTATTAGACCAAAGAATAAAGAGATCAACTATTAGACCAAAGAATAAAGAGATCAACTATTAGACCAGAGAATAAAGAGATCAACTATTAGACCAAAGAATAAAGAGATCAACTATTAGAAAAAAAGAATAAAGAGATCAACTATTAGACCAAAGAATAAAGAGATCAACTATTAGACCAAAGAATAAAGAGATCAACTATTAGACCAAAGACTAAAGAGATAAACTATTAGACCAAAGAATAAAGAGATCAACTATTAGACCAAAGAATAAAGAGATCAAGTATTAGACCAAAGAATAAAGAGATCAACTATTAGACCAAAGAATAAAGAGATCAACTATTAGACCAAAGAATAAAGAGATCAACTATTAGACCAAAGAATAAAGAGATCAACTATTAGACCAAAGAATAAAGAGATCAACTATTAGATCAACTATTAGACCAAAGAATAAAGAGATCAACTATTCGACCAAAGAATAAAGAGATCAACTTTTAGATCAACTATTAGACCAAAGAATAAAGAGATCAACTATTAGATCAACTATTAGACCAAAGAATAAAGAGATCAACTATTAGATCAACTATTAGACCAAAGAATAAAGAGATCAACTATTAGATCAACTATTAGACCAAAGAATAAAGAGATCAACTATTAGACCAAAGAATAAAGAGATCAACTATTAGACCAAAGAATAAAGAGATCAACTATTAGACCAAAGAATAAAGAGATCAACTATTAGACCAAAGAATAAAGAGATCAACTATTAGATCAAAGAATAAAGAGATCAACTATTAGACCAAAGAATAAAGAGATCAACTATTAGACCAAAGAATAAAGAGATCAACTATTAGACCAAAGAATAAAGAGATCAACTATTAGACCAAAGAATAAAGAGATCAACTATTAGATCAAAGAATAAAGAGATCAACTATTAGATCAAAGAATAAAGAGATCAACTATTAGACCAAAGAATAAAGAGATCAACTATTAGACCAAAGAATAAAGAGATCAACTATTAGACCAAAGAATAAAGAGATCAACTATTAGACCAAAGAATAAAGAGATCAACTATTAGACCAGAGAATAAAGAGATCAACTATTAGACCAAAGAATAAAGAGATCAACTATTAGACCAAAGAATAAAGAGATTAAGTATTAGAGCAAGCTAAATTAATTTTCTATACATCACACAACTGCTAAAAGCACAATATTTAATATGGAAAAAGCAATAGTTAAAATAACCCCTCAAACATTGTGTGGATTTTAAAAGCTCATACTGCAATGATTGTGGGAACCACACAACGCACTTATGCTGTGATTTACAAATTCTATGAGTTTAAAGAAAGATTACTGCAGTAACGCAAAAAATATTAATTCTAGTTTATTTAATCCTATCTGCCAAAATTTTGCATGACTTATAAACCCATAATGACCATCACCTTGTGTCTGTGATAACACTGCAAACTTTTCGGCCTCAACATGCGCGCTCAGATACTGCAACACGCTTGGTACCATTCGGCCAGGGACGTGCAGCATACACTGTGTTATGGTTTGAAACAACAGCACCACAGCAAGGTGAAGGGCCATGGCAGGGTCAGTCTCTGTTTTGAGCTGCTCGCTTAAGGTCTGGCGATGGTTGAACACAAGTTGCCTGTCAGAGAAAATACAATACTGATAACAAGTTGGGGGATATTGCTATGCTGTTATTAAGGTTAACTTGTTGGCTAATGGAAGATTCTTGAAATATACAATAGGGCTATGATCTGCTAGCAAGGTCTGGTGATGGTTCAACACAAGATGCCAGTCAGAGACAACACAATACTGATAAAAAGTGGGGGATATATTCAGGAAAATATCCACTGAGGCTATGATCCGCTGGCAAACATTTCAATTATAATTTCAGAGGAGACAGAGTTATATTATATTGGCTGGCTGTCCAATGGATAGTGTTACCTGTCCACAACCAAGAGAAATCAGGTACAAATAGGCCAGGGTCATCCCTAGCAATGGGCAAATACACAGGTATAATGGAATGATTAGCTAAGTAACGTAAATTTCTTTGAGGATGAACCAAGAAAAACCTCTATCTTCAACCTGTGGGATAACAGGCTAAATGGAGCTTTCTGGAGTCAGTTGAAGTTAGCCAAATAGGGATCAAAAATCAAATATATATAAATCTTCTTTTGATTTCTGAATTCAGCAAGCTAGTTTCACCCTGTTCAGCTGCAATCAAGTTGGTGTTTTTTTACTCAACAGTATCCTCCTTGCCATGCAAAGTTGCCACAACTATTTCCCCATAGCTGAGAACAAACTATGTACCTCTTTATCGCGAGTTGGGAAGCCTTACAACTAAACCTTAATAGCCAGTTTTTACCTTCTGTTTTATAAACAATAGTTTCATACATCTACAAGTCTAAATGACAAACATTCCAGACATATGTCTAAATGACAAGAGTCCCAGACCAACCATATGTCTAAATGACAAGACTCCCAGACAAACCATGTATCTAAATGACAAGAGTCTCAGGAATACCAAATGTCTAAATGACAAGAGTCCCAGCTGCATCTTATTACAATGTTTCCCCAGTCCACCAAGAACAATTCAAATCACCTTTCTTTTCTTTTGTCAGGTTTTTTCAAAAGAATACCAAGATGTTGTGGTCCACAGAGCAGCTCCAGGTGATGGAAGAAGTCATCGAGATTGCTTCCATTGAGGGATGTGTGGAGTTTCATCAGTGGCTCTTGGGTTTCTTTTGGGAATGTGCTGATTAGACGCAATCGAGTCTGGGAAATAAATGGGACAACTTTATGATGGCTGATTGATAGATTTATTGATTGCTTTAAAAATCTTTAAGTAGTAGAGTTATGACGAACTACTGACTTTATTTTTCTGTTTCTCTAAGACAGGCGTCACCAAACTTTTTTCATGACGGGCTGGATAACAGAAAAAAATGACTAGTGCGGGCCGTATAATTATTCTCTACAACACTTGCAAGCCAGAACGAAAGCTTTGGGAAAAAAGATGAAAAACTAAGTTTAGTATTCCATTTTAATATTGATGAGGGTCGTGCAATGCCAAAAAGCAAAGACAACCAACATATTTATTTACAAAAAAGTTAGCAAAGAAGGTGACATTAGCAAAAAGATAGTTACATCAGACCTAGTGCACACATTATCGAATCTCACAAACTAAGCAGTAAAAAAGAGTTAAAGAGATTTTTGAAACTGACGCTTTCAAGATATCATCAATGTTTAGTTTAGAATTGCTGCATCCAATCAAAAGAATTGTTTTGTGTTGACTTCACATACTTTATTTTTGAAAATGTTTGTTCACAGACCTAAGTTGTTCCATGTACGCTGCAAACAGTCAACTTTTCTGTTATTTGAAAGTCCAAATTGACACCACAAATAAACACGAGAAGTTGTAAGAGATCAGTAGACTTATCCAGTGCCAGAGAATCCAACAACAATTTCCTAACTTTCTTACATATCTGTATCACTATATTCTCTCCAAGTTCTTTTGCTCTCAGCACAACTGAACTTGCCGGAAGGCTGTTAGTTCCAACCGCGGCGACTACAATGTTTAATGTCCCCGTTTGTTTCCAACACGCCTCTTTCTTTCACACATTTACAATTTACAGACTATAATATATTAGCAGGAATAGGCTTAGAGAAAATTGATTCTTCTTTTATAATTTTTTAGACTGTAATAATGTGATCTGTACATCCACTAAATATCAATTGATATCAATAGCAAATACACATCCGCAAAACAAAGTGAGCGCAGATTGTATTATAAACATCAGCTCATCTACTTTTAGTAGTTAACTTTTTTCACACCAGCTTAACACGATCTCACTAGGCACTGCGATGCGAGTAATTATTGTATTCATTTTACACACTGTATTTTATTTATTTACAATTAATGTATCATATTGTACGATTTCTGAGACGATATTGTACGATTTTAGGAGTTCGAGGGTAAACAGGTCTGCAATAAACAAGAAAATCTAGATCAATAATTGAAAATTGAAAATGGTAAAATAAGGCGCATAGCAGCCAGGAGGTCTCCGAACATGTGAATATCTCCTAGTATTCTAAATATAATATTATTGAAATTTAAATTGCATTACACCGTCTCGTGATCCATACGTTTTATCAAGCAAGTTCAAGTACCGTCGGTGGGCCGGATGAACTGGCCTTGTGGGCCGTATCTGGCCCGCTGGCCATAGTTTGGTGACCCCTTCTCTAAGAAAACAGAGACAATATGCACTTAGTATCTAAGAGTTACTTTGGGTCATCTCACCTCAGGAGTTAAGTGTTCGTCTGCAGTAGCAGACACATTGACCATATTATCACTGGCCAGGGCTAGGACCACAGTGTTAGCTAGTTCAGAACAAACTGTCTTCAGCAGATGTTTGACAAGGTTCGTGTGGACTGGTTCTAAGGACAAGTGGACAATAATAATAAGTAATCAGCAGTTCTGAAATGAGGTGAAATAAAAGATGGTTGGACTACATCAAGTGAAATGAAAGATGGATGCTGTTACAGGATGACCGTGATCGTTACGCCATGGTAAAAAATACTCGTAACAGGTCTACAGATTTTGGGAGAGTAGAAAGGCCATGAATGATGATTCCCTGCCGCTATTGTCACATGAAGGGGGCGTATGAAAGTAGTGGTATCTCAGCCTCCTAGAGACCAACTGAAAGTGATTTTTTGATTTCAGACAAAACCGTAACTAGACTGAAAGTTAAAAATGACTTTTGGCCAAAACCGAAGCAGACACCAAAACCTTAATGAAACTTGAAGCCAAAACCAAAAGCGTAACAAGACTTTCGACCAAAACCCAAGCTGAAAGATTAAGATATTTCAAAACTCGTTCAGGTATATGTTCTGTGTACATTGAAAACTGATGGGGGAGAGAGATTATCGTGAGTTTTAATAGATAAACATCTAATGAATAGTTTTGCCACCTGAATTAAAAATTAATTTAAAGTTGTTAAAAATGTATTTTAAAGTAGTTTTGTAAGAGAAAATTTTGACTTGGGTGGGGGGCAAAATTTATGCAAAATAGACCATTGGGTGCCCTTGGCTTTTATAATAAAATTGCTTCACTACTTAGACATATTTGGTGTTGATCGAAAGCGTAGCTTATGCATTTTTATCAGTATGGCCGACTAAAATGTCCAGACATTCAGTATGGCCGACTAAAATGTCCAGACATTGAAGGAATGTTTGTTATGCTAAGCCAGGGCCACACATTGACAAATGTAAAGCTATTGGGGGGGGGGGGCGCATATATATTATGTCCACTTTGTTTGCAGCAACCTATCACAAAAAGTAATTGCCAATTATTTATGTTATTAAAAAGTAAAAATAACCAATTATTGCAATTTTATTTTATTTATACACTTATACATTATATTTTACATTATGGACAAAAACTTTTACTAATTTTTTAAAAAGATTTTACAATTTTTTATTATAATAAAAAAAACTATTATCTATCAATTGCTTTAATTTAGACACCTGTACTACATCAGGTGAAATGAAGTCAATAACAGAAAGATGGATGTACTACATCAGGTGAATGAAGTCAATAAAAGAAAGGTGGCTGGACTAAAAATGGGGCATTAAATAAATAAAATACAGAAATTATAAGCATAATTTTCATTTGATTAAGTTGACTATGTATGTCTCCATTTGAGTGTTGCACATATCAATAAATATGACAACACTTTTTATATGACAAAACTTGTAATATGATAACACTTCTAATACGACACTAGTGATTGGCCAAACCTTCAAACAACTTGATACTTTTCTCAAAGAGCCGAGCATTGACCCACAAGCCATTCATCTTGTCCTGCACTTCCGCTGCTGTCTTCTTCCTGTCTGTGCCTGATGACTTGAGGAATATAGACTTGGCAACCTCTTGATACTGCCTTGCCAGTGGCCTAGTATGCATGGTGTAACATGTTGGGTGTTAACAAAGCAATAAAAATTAACTGGTGACTTCCATTTTTTTACCTGGTTAGGTAAGAAATGATATTGACCAGTGCCATTTTGTGCAAGCGGGCAGCCAGGTGCTTGCAAAAATTTTAAATGTCAATATATCTATCATTTAGTAACATCATACACATTTTTACTTGTATTTCATTGGCTGATGAAATAAAATGTAGACACTTATAGTATAAATAATAAAATAAGGTAAATTTTGTTCAATTTGAATTTTAAAATTAATACCATACAATAAATATAGGTAATATTATTAAGTTTGCTAATATTAGACATTATTTAACATGCCCGTATAATTTGCTGTCTGTTTTAGTTCACTAGGTCATTATTTAACATGCCTGTGTAAAGTAGTGGCTATTTCAGTTAAATAAGACATTATTTTACTTGCCTTTGTAATGTAATTTGTGGGGTTTTTTCAGTTAACTAATACATTATTTAACATGCCTGAGTAATTTGGTGGCTATTTCAGTTATCAGTTCACTGGGACAGTCCTTGAAATTTGGTTGTTTTTTCAATACCTGAGGAAAAATACAAAGTTCATTAAATGAATGACAGTAACAGAACATATCGTATTACAAATAATATTTATTTAAACTTAAATTACGTACACAACATCTACACTTAAATAAAATATAAACCATCAACATTACATTTTACTCATGCGTTGCTGATTGAAAAGGTTAAATGTTATTTACAAGCACATGTCTCCAGTTGTCATCTTTCCATTAACAATTGCCATTGCAAATATGTGCACTTTTTTTGTCATAATGAGTGTTTATAAAAATACAAATGAGATTTAAAAAAACTGACCTCCTCAATCTCTCGTACACTCAAAAATCTGAGCTCTTGCTGACCATCATTCTGCTGTTTCCCTTTCACAGAGCTCAGTGCTGAAACATCTTCATCGGAACCTTCATCAACATCACGACCTCTGCCCTTCTTTTTGGTCGATTTCATTTTGACTTCTCTACCACCCGTGCCTTCTTTCTTGCTTGATCCAGCAGCTACAAAAATAATATAATTAAATGGATACTATTATATATTACCTTAAACAACAATTTAATATAGTCGTTTGGCTTCCAAGAGTTAATTATGCATTTAGACATAATATTGATTCTGAGCTTCAGGCTAAAATTTAAAACTTTCTTTTATGATAAAGTCGAAACAGAATGTGTATGTTTTTTGTTATGATTCTGTCATAGATATTAAAAAAACCCAGAAAGGTAGAAAATAAAATACTACAGTTTAAGATATGTGTTTGAGCATGCTAGCAGTTGTAAGAAGTTTGTCAGATAAGAAGACCAACTTATCTAGGTCAAATAACACAACCAACTTATCTAGGTCAAATAAGACAACCCAATTACCTAGGTCAACTAAGACAACCAGCTTATTTTGGTCAACTGAGACAACCAACATATCTAGGTCAAATAAGACAACCACCTTATCTAGGTCAAAGTTTATGTGTACTCACTAGCTGCTTTTTTCCTTCTCTGTTCCTTCTTGTCCTCCCTGGCTGAGCTGCCATCATCCACCCCCGATACTTTGACAATGGTCACTTTCTCAGTTGTTTCTGTTGACTGGACCACTGGATGTGACTTAGCTGCCTTGAAAAGTATGACCAAGATTTCTATAAACATGTCTGATATGAGGTAAGAGAGGAATATAGCAATATTTACACTGATCATGGGTTACATGGTTACACTTACTATAGGTTCTATGGTTCACATGATAAGATTCTTTATTGATCCAAATGGCTAGTTTATCAGGTGCTCCACCCCCCCTCCCCAAATTACCTTTTCAGCTTTCTCTGTCATGATGTTAGCAAATACTGATGAGCTCTCTGTCACTAACTTGTCACTAGCCACTATTGTGGACTCACAAAGAATGGCATTAGGTCGACCTTTGAGGCATGTGGAGAGAAGATCAGCTGCATCTTTTTGACTCAATACAGAGGGGAGAACACTCTGGTGGAAGGCAACATGAATACATTTGGGCCAAATGGAACAACTATTGGAAATGAAATTTAAAAACAAACTGATGTAAACAAAAAATTAATATTTTGTGTAATATGTATTTTTCAAGATCTCCTTTCTCATATTTTAAATAAATTTGAATGCCATCTATAAGGCACAAAGCAATGAAACCCCCATGACCAAATCCCATACAAAGGTCTTCTATCACCACATCCAGCCACACCCCACATTTAACTTATCATTCCACCCAGCCATCTTACCATATTAACCTGCCATTATATCCAAACACTAACCCACATTTAACCTACCACTACATCCAGCCATTTTCCCACATTTACCTACCATTACATCAAGCCACACTCCAAGATTAAGAGCCTCATCCACTGAGTACTGGACCTGGTCTGAGATGCCTGCACCAACACAGCAGGAACTAAGAAAGGTCAGGGTCTCATTCTTGAACTTCTTCTTGATGTAGCCCTTGGGATCAGAGATGCCAAGCCTGACCAGGGCATCATATTCTGGATGAGAAAGTGTCACAAAACTCACAGGACTAATTAGTTTAGAATATCAGTTTTACTATTAAATATACATAGATGGCAAGGGTCAATGATTTTGAGCACAGAAAAACTAATCATAGTGACAATTTCAAACCAAATATTTCATTTTTAAGAATCAACCTTGTCATATTTTCATTATGGAATGTCAGTTTAGGTATGTAAGCTCACCCAGGTATCCATTTTGCCTGTAAAATGAATCTACCCATTCATTTTGAGTCCTGGTGAAAATGTCAGGCAAGAATTGAGACTTGTCGTGTCTGCTTCCAGATAGACAACCGGCCAGTCTACCATTGGACATCAGCTCCTCTAAGATGGCTAGAATTGTAAAGACAAACTAAGATCATTACTTACAGACTCTTGTTTAAAAAATTTATGAATTTTAAGAAATTAAGTTTTGAGCTTTTCTTTTAAACTAGCTGGGGCAACGCAACAGGAAGAGGTGCATATTCTATTATAATAAATCCAGATGGCGCTTCATATATCCAGCATTTATCATGCCCTTTTGGTCATCATCCTATTTCCTTTTTAAACTGCTTTGTGTTCAAATCATGATTGAGAAGATACTTCAGAAAGGACTTAAATTATTGGGAAAATAATTCATATGGAAAATCCCAGTTATCTTTTCAAACGGACAAAATAATCATGACACTGGCGTTTCACCTGATTTTTATTAGTTACGTCCCTGCAGGACGAACAAGATCCACGTTATAATTATTATTATAGATACTACCTAATTGAAACAAAAAGAAGAAATATCTTGTAAAATTAAACTCCTCAATTCATTACTTTTATGTACAGGAATAACCAATAGCTATCCAGGAAATTCACTAAGTCAGGGGGTTCTTACATTTTTGAAGCGACACACCCTTTCTTGTTTTCAAAACGTAATTCTTGCATCTCCATAATAAAAAATGCAAATAAACATGATTTTCTGTGTCTTCCCACACCCCTTGATACTGCCTCCTGCAACTCCTGGGGGTGCAGGTACCCCTGGTTAAGAAAATCTGCTTCACTAATGGAAAACGAATGACTGACAAAAGGGATACAACTACATAACTACAGGGTTAAACTTTTAAATTATGTTGTACGATGTGTGGGCTAAAGGGGATACAACTTCTAAACTAACAATTTTTTTATCCCTCAAGCAGTAAGGCTGTTCAAATGTCATTGAAAAGAACTTACTGTGAAACAAATGTTCCTGGCAACCTACGGCTTGCCTCACTGGACCTACTGCTGTAGGGCTGGAAATGAGGGGGAAATTACATCAATTCTGCATACATTAATACAATTTTTAAAAACTATGTAAGAAAGACAATCACACATTTATCAAAACGTTAGATTTACTCACATGGTGACAGCAGAGAATGCACCTCTGATCTGAGATTTCATACGGTTGACAAATGCACCAGTGAAGACCACATCACTGTCATAATTATCTATTTGACCTTTGATACGTTTGTCAAGATAAAAGTCAATTACCTGCAATTATATTTTTGAAAATCACAAAATAAAAGAAAATTAAAGATAAAAATAATTTACTTTTGATAGACAGCATTGTTAATTGCCTCGTAAAAGAAGTAGTGCGCAACCTTTTATAGCTGAGACCTATTATGTAAGCCCTCGTGTCCCTTTTGTGAGATGCAGGTTGTGCACTAATGCTCTAGAGACTGTAAATGAAATTAATTATTTCCTTTTGTTAGCATTGCTAAATTACCTCTCTAAAAAAGTCAGCCGGAAGGTCATAGGCTTTAGTGAGCTCAATGATGGTGATATGACCTTTCTCTTGCAGTAGGTCATTGATCTCATCTGCCAGACGTTGGCGGTAGGATGTGTCTATTAACTGTCCCAGAACAAGACTCAGATGACTGTCATGCTTGACCATGTCATTTACTTTAGTCTCTATATGACTCAAGTCCACATTGAGAAGTTGTTGCAAGTCCACTAAATTAATTCGGCCTTTGAGGATTGGAAATATTTTACTTTAATATTTTAATATAACATGTAAGCTGGCACTTTAGGCCCATTTTTTAAAATATTTCATTATTTCTTTTATTACTAGTACACATCATGTCACATGAATTCACTCATATGATTGGTTATACTATATTTGTTTTGTCTGCAGAAAAAGGCTTTGATCACAAAAATGCTTTTTTTGCGAGTGCCTGCTTTATTTTATTTAAAATTTGATTAACCTCGTTTGCAGTTATACTCTTTGTTTTTAAAATAAAAAATATTGTTACTTAGTCTTAGTTTTACTAATAATGTCTGTTTCTGATCATGATGGTTTATTTTAAAAAATAATAAAATGATCTATCAGATTTTGTGCCTTTGTCAAAACATAACAAGTTTAACTCATTGAGCAGGTAGTTTTGGTGAATGTAATAAAATATTTGTCTAATTTCAAGAGGCATAACAGAAAATAATTTATAGGGAACATTCCAAAAGCAATTTTTTATGAAATATAACATAGATATAATATTTTAATTAAAATGGTAAAATAAAAAATGTTATATTCTATTGTGCTTTGTGAAGGCTGACAACTATTTAAATCCAGTTTTCAACATCTCCAATACAAACTAGTTTAACTGTGACAAGAAGCAAAATGGGAAACTGGGTGTCAGGAAATTACCTCTGTGAACTGTCAGCTCATCTCTGATCTCTGTCACCAGCTGTTGGTGTGTCAAGTACGTTTTCCCATCTGAGGTGTACAAAATGTCGATCAAATGGAGCTCTACAAGTTTTGATACGATTTCAATAACATTACGCTCTGACAACCTTAAGGAAACATAAAAAATATTCTTAGAAATGGGAAAAGAAGATAAATATAACCAGTTAGTATTTGAATTTTTGATTAAATTAAAAAAAAAAAAAAAAAATTTAATAAAATTAAACCAATGTTAAACTTAAAATGATTGCATCATTGTAAATTAATAAAGAAACATAAAAAATATTCTTAAAAATGGGAAAAGAAAATAAATATAAACAGTTAGTATTTGAATTTTTGATTAAATTAAAAAAAAAAAAAAAAAAATTTAATAAAATTAAACCAATGTTAAACTTAAAATGATTGCATCATTGTAAATTAATTATTTTTTATGATAAAATAAAATATATAGGCCTTGCCAGTCAATAGCTTATATTTTACAATTATTGCAACGTCCACACAAAAAAATTAAGAAAAATTGGCTTAAACCATGGAATGGCCAATATTGAGAGCCTAATCATAATTTAAGACACTAGGCATATCTTAAAATTAGCTAAGAGTGTTAGGTTTGAGTAGGCTACTTTTAGTCATTTATGGTAAATTAGGATTATATTACATAAAATACTATGTTTACTCTGTGCCTTGCCATTTATCATGTTTGGGGAGAATGAATTTCAGTTTACTCAAACACAGAAGAGTTCTCTGTACTGTATAATGCACTCAGTTCTTTTATTATAAGTAGAAGTAGGCCGGTAACACAAGGGATACTACTACTTAATTTGTATCAGAAATCGTCGCAACACAATAGAATCTGAGTTTAAATTTTTCATGTGAGTTTAATTTAATAATACAGGAGTCCTTTTGACCCATAATTAAGTTCAGCCCTTTCACTTTAGAAGACATCTTGGCCTACATCCACATCAAGTTGTATTGATCAACTTAAATTTTGGAAAATCTTATGTCAATATAAAGCATCTGTCAATATAAAATTTGAAAGAAATATTAAACATACAGTAGAAATCATTTCACACGCAAACTGAGTGGGCCGCAATATTTCTTTGTGTGAAAAGAATTTTGTGTTAAACAATGCATACAAAAAATATATATATACTCACCAAAATTACATTTATTAGAGTACATCATATTAGATACACTATTTACATTTCAAATTTTTATACATTTTGTACATACATTTGTATGTATGCATGCATTTTATAAATAAAAATAAAACAAATCAACAATATTAATAAAAACTTATAAACAAAATTTTTTAATAAAAATAAATAAAACATTTATTGATTTTTTGGAAAACAATCTTTTTTTTTCTTTCTTTTTTTTGCATTGTCTTTTTTAGCATCAAATTTTCAACAAATTATTCGATAAACTTCGAGTTAGCCTTCTTTCACATGAGACACCACCTCTTTTTTATTTCAGACCAATCTATATTATCGCTGTCAGGTGTATGTATTTTGCTAAGTGACCACACCCCCATTTTAATGACAGAAGACGCAGATACTTAGCTTAGGAAATATTCAATTATTACCATTATACATCAAAATATTTGAATACATGTATATCAGAATGAATTTAGAAGGCATTTAAACTGGAATATTTTAATTTTAGCTATAAAACGCGGTAGAGTCCATATTGTAAATTATCACAATTTTCCGTGTGCAAAACGTTGTCATGGGCAACTATTCACAGCCACTTGCATAGTAGCTATCATCATCATGTCCCTTAGTCCTTGGACCATTGGGGCGCCACAGATGACATGAAAACTATCCTTCTCCATTCCTCTCTGTTTTCTGTACTTCGCACAGCATCTAGTTTTAGTCCCGTCCACTCTTTGATGTTGTCTTCCCATCTTTTTCTCCCTCTTCTCATTGTGCCCTGCATTATTTCTTTGGCGAGCCCTTGTTTTCTTGTCCAGTGGCCATACCATTCCAGTTTGCGCTTTTTTACAGTTATCAGGAGGTCATCATACTGCCAAATTGCTTGACGAATCCTTTTTTTCACTTGTTCATTGGAGATATGGTCTCTATAGCAGATGCCAAGAATGCTTCTGAAACATCTCATCTCCATCGGCTTTATTTTTCTTTCAAGTTCTGCTATTAATGGCTATACCATAGTACTATCTCAGAATTCTTCTTCTATATTCTTCTTTATATTTAAGGGCCCAAAATCAATTTATTGATAATTTTGGCCCCTATGCCTGTAGAGGGGATTTGCAATGTTTCTGTGCCTGGTGTCGATGAGGACATTTCACTGATTTCCAGTGCCACTTTGTGAGGGAATCATGCACTGGGGGATTGAAGGCTTGAGGCAATAGACACAAATGAGTCTAGTGTTGTCGCCTAAACTGTTCCTTTTGAAAGCTTGTTCCAGTCCCTGATTGTCTTGGGCAGGGATGAGCAGCTCCTATACTGGCTTCTTGCTGGTATGAGCCTGAATTGCCTGTCATGGCCTCGTCCCTGTCAATGGGGGAGAGGGACGAGTTTCTGTTTAATACTGGAACAGTGGACCAGCCCATTATTTATCTTGTACATAATGGAGAACCTGGATTGTCGTCGTCGTTCCTCCAATGGTGAACAGCCTAGTGTTTCCAGCATGCTGCCAATACTAGAGGTATTCCTAAAGCGGTTCAGGACAAAGCGTGCTGCCCGTTGCTGGACCACCTCCAACCTGTCAATGCTCTTCTGGGTAAATGGGTCCCAGACTGAAGATGCATTCCTTCATAAGAGTTTGCCATGTAAAAAAACTATTAAACCATCAGCCAGGGAAAGCTTTAATTAATTAGTAATATGCCAAAGTTGCATTATATAGTTTTTATACTGGTATAATGGACGCTGTAGACTTGATAAACAGAAAAGCTATATAATATATTATAATAAATTAAGATAAGTTACAATTTATTTACAACTGCATAACATTGCTAAAATTGCTTTTTAAAATTAGAACTTTTGAAACAGCATTAATTCTGAAATTAAAAGTCGTATAAAATTATCATTAAAATGAGAGTTATAGCAAATGATGCAAACAATAGAATTAAGTCATGGAATTTGGAGCCCCTTGTAAAAAATGACAAACGAACTCATACTTTGAAAATTCATAGCTCAAAAATTACTATTTTGGTTTCATTTTTTTAATTTAAAGTTTGCTCGATTATACTCTACTATTTTGTTATTTTTTTATTTTTACACTAAAGTACCTACATTACACTTACTCTTAAATTTACTATCGTTTAGAAATGTTGGGACCAAAATAAGCCATAAGTGTAGGGACTTTAATGAAAATTTCAAAACATTTTTAATAGTATAAAAAACACTAGACTACAGCTGCATAGAGCCTAGAGAATGGTTTACAAAAACACCAAGATCAACTTTCTAGCTCAAATGGTTCAAAAGTTATGAATTTTGTAGTAAGGACCTCAAAACCACTTTTTCACTATGGGGTTTTCCTCCACAATTTTTGCTCCTCATTTTGCTTATTTGTTACGCCTATAACTTTATTATAAAATGAGACAAAAATATAATATTTACAGGGAACATAGTTAAATATGAGTTCTTCTAAATAAAGCCACAAAATTTAAGATTAGTTTTTGTTAATATGCCGCAAAAGAAATATTAAAATTGTTATACAGTGGTACCTCGGTATCTGTCCGCTTTGGAATAAGTCTAACTTGGTATACGTCCTGTTTGGGCAAGAAACATTTTGCTTGGTATAAGATCTTCGTTTGGAATACGACCCGCATGCGTGCTATTGAAGTGACCTCTGACAAAATTAACCCTAAGAGAGTTTTGGAAAGATCACTTTACTATTGCCCTTTTTATAACTCTCATTGACAAACCCTGACAGGAAGTTTCCAACAGAACAATACAATCTGCTTGGATGAATTTGTGGCCAGAAGCAGTGACTGAAAGGGACTTCGAGGCTGTGAATACAGTGGTGGATATTGTCTCTCTAGGCAGGTACATGGGACTTGATGTGAATGAATTTGATGTGGAGGAGTTAGTAGAGGGGCACAGGGAAGAGCTGACCACTGAGGACTGCAGGAACTTGAGAAGGATGAACACAAGACTAGGATGGATGCACTCTCTTCAGGCTCTGATGAGGAGGAGATAGAGGAAGCTCCTACTTCATTAATCAAGGAAATCTTTGCTAAATAGATGGATTTCAAAAACTTTGCACAGAAGTACCACCCCAACAAAGCTTAAACAAGTTGTAATATCACTGTCTGGAATGACCAGACGATGACCCATTTTCGAAAAATCCTGAGGAGAAGGCAAAAGCAAAGCTCTTTAGACAGATTTTTAGTAAAAGAAAAACCTGCTGAGAGTCAACAAGGGTCAATTAGGGAAAAGAAACAGAAGAAAGAAAAAACAACAGAATGTCATACTCCTGAAGTTTAATTAGATGCTGACTCTCCTTCAAAACAATAACATCTCCTCCTTCTCAGCACCATATTAGTAAGCACTTGACTCTTCTCACCTCGATAAAGTGAGGTTAAATTTTCATCTATTTCACATAAGTTCTTTTTATTTATGTATTTTAGTATTAAGCAGTGTTTAAATTTTTTTTATACAACCACATCAATAAATGAAATATGCAAATAATGGGAACAGATTAATCATTTTCCGTTTATTTCTTATGGGAAAAATATGTTTGGTATATGTCCTGTTTGGTATAAGTCTGGAACGGATTAAGGACGTATACCGAGATACCACGGTAATTTTCCTTATTAAAAAATGTATAAAGTATGCTGACTTAATTCTTTTTAATTAATTAATTTTCTTTTAATATATTCATTTTTTAATTTCCATAAATAAATAATAATAATAATATTCTTTAGATATTAATTTCAAATTTTCTGTGGAATTGTTTAACATTTAAAATATAAACAAATAATACAGTGATTATTTTATTCATTTAGTTAAAATTGAAGATTATACTTTTTATTTTACCATTTTCTAAAGGCCCCTTTATGTATTTTTTAATATGACCAAAGAATTAGTATGTCATTTATTTGAAGTTAGTAATCTTGTTTTACAAATCAACATGTATTGTTAGAGTCAACTTTGGTGGTTGATAGATTTTAATTTCTGGTCATTTGCTAGAGGTAAGTACAAGTTTTTATGATTGTTCTTTAATAATATCTTAAGTAGCTCTCTTATATAATAACCCTCTTGTGGAATATATTACAAATAATAAGGGGTCGTTCGCAAATTACGTCACGCTCGGGGGCGGGGGAGTCGAGGCACTGTGTGACAAGGTGGAAGGGGGGTCAAAAATTTGTGACATCATGATTTTTTTTTTTAAATAAAAATATAAAATTTATATTTTTGAAAAATCTTTATTTAATTAATTTTGAAAACATTATTTTGAGATCGAAATTGCCTCAGGTATAATAAGTACCATGAAAATCAGTCGTGCACATCTTCTGCGCATATCGAAAAAATGACGCAAAAATTGCTGTGGCCATTTTACTGTGTGTCTTTATAGGCTATAGTATATTATTAGAATAAGATAATTGTAAGTTTATTGAATTAACAGTCTAGATAATATATTTTTTAGTTAAGCCTATATCTAAAAGTTTTATTAAAATACATCAAATTAATAAACAAGACTCAAACAACATCATCGTAGTAATTATATTTTTTTAAGGACAAAGCAGTACATAGACAATTATTTAATATATCAAATAACATTTTTTAATGAATTAGTCTCATCATCATGGATGATTTTATTTGAGTAATTTTAATTTATAATTATTTGCGTTCAATTTTATATATAAAAAAGACTTAATTACCTTTTTATAAATATAATAAATGATTTAAAATTCAACACAAGCATAATAAAATTAGTTAAAATTCAATAAACATGTTATTTTTTTCGTTTTTTCCTGTATAAATAATTATGATTTTCCCAATTTTTCTGTTCACTTTTTTCTGAACATACCCTCAAAGAAATATATAAAAAAATAAAAGTCTGAAGTTTTATAAAAATTTTGTTGTTTATTGCGTTGTAAATACAAGTCTGCCAATCTTTGCTTCAACTCGTTCACTGACCCTCACTTTCCTGTCTATCTCTCTGAACTGTTGCTTCCTTACATCCCCACAAGACAACTACGTTCTTCCATTGACAGTAGAACCCTCTCAATCCCAAGAACTAAAACTAAGACCATCGGTGAACGCTCCTTCTGCTTCCATGGGCCCACGTTCTGGAACCAGTTCCCCTTCCATATACGTCATAGTGAAACCTCGTCCATTTTCAAAAAGTCCCTTAAAACTCATCTGTTTAGGTCCGCCTATGACCTGTGATGCACCCTCCTTGCCCTACCTCATTTTCTGTTTCGGGTTATTTTCAAAAAGTCCCTTAAAACTCATCTGTTTAGGTCCGCCTATGACCTGTGATGCACCCTCCTTGCCCTACCTCATTTTCTGTTTCGGGTTGATCCTGAAGTGTCAAAGTGTCCTCGTTTTATAGTCATTTTCATTGTTTCTATAAAATAGTAGTTACTATCCTAGTATCTCATTTGTATTTACTTAGTTTACATGTTTTAATAATTGTAAAGCGCTTAGAGCTTTATGATAAGCGCTATATAAAAATGCCTAAATAAATAAATAAATAAATAAATATTGCATTGAGAATGTCTCCTGAAAATTTGGTAGCATTATCTTTTAAAATCAAAAAGTTTTGGGAAAAATAAGGCAGAAATTTGGAAAGTGGGTTACACGTTTTTTCAGTTAAATACTAAGATAAAGAAGGGGGTCTTAAAAAATCACTGAAAAAATCATAACTCCACTTCTATAAAAGATAGAAAGATGAAATTGGTGTTATTGTAAAGCTTATAGATAGTCCTTTAAAATGATGTACCGGTATCATTCATGGCAATCGGACATTATTTAAATTTTGTGTCAAAGTATTTTAAAAAATATTAAGCTTAGGCCTACATAGACTATTATGGGATTTATGACAGTTTTTTATAGTTATAACTGATATTGATATGTAGGCTTTATTTTAGTAATATTCTCTGAAATAATTAATAAGAGAAAAATGATTATAATTATTGATATTACTATAGTAAAACTATTAAATATTGATCAATAATGAAGAACGATAAACTGTGTACCGGTACCGTACACAATTTTTAACGTACCGGTAATAAATAAAACTTAAAAGCAACCCTTGGTTAATACATAAACTTTTCAAATTTGGTTATAATCTTTTCTTAAAATTATTGCTTTTAAACTTCTTATAATTATTTAGATGTTTATGGGGGTAGGCTACCAAAAATTTTTTTTTTAAATTAACCAACTTAGAGAAACTACTTTATTATGGTCATGTTGAGCTATGAATGGAGATATATTTTCATGCTTTAAAAGAAAAATAATTATACAGTTGCCATGGCAACGGCGGCCATCTTGAAAATATTGCCCATTCGAAGAGTTCTAAAATTTTAAAAACAAACAAACATATTGCTTAAAAAATGATTGATTCATGAACTTCAATTATATCTAGAGGTACTGAGCTAGTTTAATTTCCTTCAAACTTTTCAAATAATTTTTTTTTTTTTTTTAAAATTGGCCTCGACAGAAAACGCTTAAAATTTACCAAAAATTAATTGATCAAATTGACTTTTGAATAGCTCATTACCCACAAAATAGTTAAAGGAAGATACACACCAAATTTCATTACTCTAGCTTGTATATTAGCCGAGATTTTAGAATTCTACGTTAAAAAATAACGGAAAAAAGCAATTTTGAGAAAAATCAATTTTAAATGTTAAAAGTGAAAAATTTTAAGTTTATTATGAAAACGAAGCTCTTTTACATAGTTTTTTTTGTTAAGCAACATGGACATGTTGGTTTCGTATATTATTTAACTGTTGAATGCACCAGGAACATGGGTTACACCTTCTCGAACTTCACTCAGGTGTTCTTGTCAAAATCACAATTTTTAAAAAAAAATTATTTTCCTCTCGAATAAAGCTAATTTGTGTTGTATAAGAATTTTTAGTTCAGCAATATAGTATAACACAAGTTATTTAAAGTCCCCAATCAACCTTATTTGTCCATGATCCTTTTTAACCATATTTAGATGACAATGTTATGTTGCCGTCAACATCACTGAAATTGAAGCATAAATAGTTTCATGGCAGCAATGCTATGTTGAAACTTTTGTACCTTTTCTGTGTACCTCTTTCAGCAAAGAGGTCCTTCATACCAGAGGTGATGAGTTATTTGTCTATTAGAAATGTAATAATTGGGCAGATACTTGCTAATAAATGTTTCATGTCTTCGGCATAGCGCAGTTTTTATACTTGGTGCAGGTTATAAATTTTGCGGTGCAGCGGGATTGTTTATGGCAGATATCATAGATTGCAACTTTTCATAGTCCATGCCATTGTCCTTCAAGTCTTACAGTCTATAATTGATAATGACTTGGTTATCCAGTTGTGGATATGAACAATCTAACCACTCACAATCTAGTCATTTTTATATTCATAGTATTTACTACTTTGTTTTGTAATCAGCTGTGAGTTATGTCTTCTGCAAATTGTCCATCCCACTGCAGACAGAGGAAAATTGGTAAAAGCTTTGAATTATGATCACATTGAAATCAATGTTTAGCAGTCTCTCTGTTGAATTCTTGTCACTGAAGAATTAACTTTTGCTCGGCTCTGTAGTACCGGTACTTATTGGGGGCTGGAATGAAATTTTAAAAATTATATCAACATCATTTAGCAAATAATATATTGACATTGATCTCAATAAGCCTATCAGTCAGTATTATTTAGATGTTTAGGATTGCTTAACTAAATATTTTAATATAATTACTATTATTAGTCTAAGTCTAATACTAATGAATTGATCTTACAAATAAGAAATGATGGCCATGCCATAATTATATTATAAAACTAATTAGGCTATTATTATTAATAAATGTATGAAGATAAAATAAACGAATAAGGCTAAGATTAAACTATTTGAGTTGAAACATTCTAATACGAATTATTTTGCCCATACTGCTAATGCTACTACCATAATTATAGTTAGTATTTTCTCCTCTTGCTTGGGAGGCATGCTGTTGAGAGCCAGTCATTTGCAGATGACATGCAGCTATACAAGCATACCCATCCCTCTCTTGTCGATTCCGCTGTCCAGACTTTGCAGGGGTGCATTGATGATGTTGAGTCATGGATGACACTCAGCAAGTTGAAGCTTAATGATGAAAAAACGGAAGCACTCCTCATTCACAATCACACATCATCCTCTACCTCAACTCTTCCCACCTCATTTCAAGTAGGTAACTCCGACATACAGTTTCCACCCTCTGCTAGGAATCTTGGTTATATTCTTTCTAACAACATGTCTCTCTATAAACATATCTCTCACATTTGTCGTTCGGCATACACCGCTATCCGTCAGATCAGTTCCATCCGCCACTACCTCACAGTTAGCGCAACAAAAACTCTAGTCTGGGCTCTTGTTCTTTCTCGTCTTGAATATTGCAACTCTCTTCTGTCAGGTTCACCAAAACACTGCATAGAAAAACTGCAGAAAGTTCAAAACTCAGCTGCTAGGCTATTTCTAAAGGCAACAAAACGTGATCACGTCACTCCACTACTCCACTCCCTTCATTGGCTACCTATACAGGCATGCATTGACTACAAGTTGTCTGTTCTCTGTCACAACTTTTTCTTGGATTCCTGCCCTTCCTATCTAACCGAACTTCTTTCTGTCTATTCACTGCTTCGACAGCTTTGCTCCTCCGCAGACACGCGTATTCTGTCCATTCCCAAGACACACACTAAAACATATGGTGAACAATCTTTCTCTTTCTGCACCCCCAAACAATGGAATTCTTTGCTACTACACATCCGCAATATACCAACCCCCCAGGCCTTCAAAACTGCACTCAAAACACATCTCTTTAAACTATACTACCCTGACTGATTCCCCTCCTCTGACCGAAAAACGATCCTGCTGGCTGCCATCCATGGTTTGCCATGTAAAAGTTCTAGGGTGGGGTGGGTGAATATACATTTGTTTTTTTTGTTTTGGTTTCACGCTGTTCTTTACTTCATAAATGTATTTTATTTTAATGTCATGATTATTTATGTCTCTTTTGCTAATATTTTTATGTACAGTGCGGTGAGCCCAGCCCTAGGCTGGGGGTACCGCGCTATATAAGACCACTAATTATTATTATTATTATTATTATTATTAAAACGGCATAATATTGCGTTGTTATTGAGTTATTGAATGTTACAATGTTAGCCTTAGGCCTATTACTTTGAACTACTCGATTATTTTGTTTTTTGTTGACTTTGTACCGCGCTTCGAGCCTTTGGGTATGAAGCGTGTTTTTGAAATGAACTTTATTATTATTATTATTATTTATCAATGTTGTTTTGTTAGCCAAACATAAATAAATAGGCTTAGGATTCATATAACTTAACAATTCACTTGATTGGTAAATATAATAAAGAAAGACTCAAAGTAGAAACTTATGAAACTCTCAGCATAAGCTAAACAATCCACACATACCAACATCATGGCAACACACTGACAGTACTGAATAATTTCAACTATCGCCGATTGCGTATTGCTAAATTAAGGTCCTTTCTTTATTATACTTACCTCCAATTTCTGGCGTTAGCTGAATCGATAAAGTAGTAAATGTATATTTTAAAATTAAAATATGCTGATGCTTTCGTTTGCAAAATTTAATTCTGTACACAGAACCGCGATCCGGTAAACACACATAAACAACTCGTTTGCGCATGCGCGAGTCATCGGTATGTTTGGCCCAATGAAAATCGGTAAAATAATTAAAATAATAGAACCAAGGAATATCCTACACACATTACGCTTGTGGATCCGATCATTTGTAGCAATTATATTTACGGACTATGATTCTAATTATTTAAAAAAATGCTTGAATTCACCTTTACGTTGAAATACAATAATAGCATATTATGTTATTTAAAACTAGTTTTTTGAGGTCTCAAACATGAGATATGTATGAATTTTATTTTATTTCCAAAATTAGGTCAATTTTTAGAGTGGGGCGGGGTGTTAAATATCAGTTATTTCACAACAAATCTTTTAAAAAGTAGTATAAATTGATGTGTAATCGATTCTAAGAATGTTCATCTTTATAAAAATGAACAAATAAAAAAAAAATTAATTTTTGAAAAATTAAGATATTTTCAGGCCCCTACCCCCTTAACAATAACGAATCACAGTGATAGCAGCCATTTCCGGCTTCTCGATCAAAAAGAAAAAAAAAAGACAATTTCATGGTGGGATGCATAAATTATAGACATAGTCAATGATAATAACTCAAAAAATGAAAAAAACTCTTAAAATGAATGTAGATTGGGTGGCAGGCACAAGACCTTATTTACTAGTAAAAAAATATTTATGCGATTTATATACTAACCGAGTCATTATAATAATACTGTCCGTGATACACAAAAAATCTGGTAGCATAAATCAATATATCACCGGAAAACACAAAAACTGCTACGTCACTGATGAGGAAAGCAATTAATTATTAAAAAAAGATGACGTAGTATGCAATTTTCCAAAGATACCGTGTAGCTGTACGCCACATTGTAGAACAAGTTCTTTAAAAATTTTCAGACATGCGCAGATCGGTGTGTCGACTAGTTTTAAAGTACCTACTTTAAGTAATTGGCGGATGTCGCTAGATGTAGAATTTATTATTATGCTAAAATTGACTATAAAAGGCAAACCAACGATATCAGGTAAAAGTGGAGTTCAGGTGCATATATTATTTCTGTTTGAATTTCGTATTTTCGCATGTAAACTTATGTTAATTCTTTATAAAAAGTATTTTAAAAGTAAAATAACATCTTTTTATTGGAATACAACAACAATTTAACAAATTTTACGAGATAAAAAGGACATTTTCATGAATCTTTTGTCTTTTACGGAGCCATTGTGGTAAATCAAGGATAACTCTTCTGTCTTTAAAGATACGTTATAAAAGTTGCCCACTTGTTTGAATCTTGGTTAATATAACCGGAATTGCCCTGGTTTGGATTCAGAAAAAAACATCTTCTACTTCCTTTTAATTCACATTGCTATTAAGCGAAATTTTAACAACAAAACAACACCACTATATTAAAAAAATAATAATAATCAATTTGTCTCCTATAAAAACACTTAAAATAACTTATGTTAACCTTTCATTTTTCCCGTTTTCCGATGGCACCCCGTTGTCCGGAAGGATCATGATGGGATCCCGATTCAGGTAAAATTCTGGTCATGGCGGTATCCCGATCCCAGTAGAATCTCGGTCATGGTGGATCCCGATCCCGATACGATCCTGTTTCCGGTGGTATCCCAATCCAAATGAGATCCCAATCCTGGTAGGATCTCGAGCCAGGTGAGATCTTGATCCCGTCGGGATCCCGTTTCCGGTGAGATTCCGATCCAGATAGGATCTTGATCCCAGTGAGATCCTGATCCCAGTGAGATCCTGATCCTGGTGGGATCCCGTTTCCGGTGAGATTCCGATCCAGATAGGATCTTGATCCCAGTGAGATCCTGATCCCAGTGGGATCCCGTTTCCGGTGAGATTCCGATCCAGATAGGATCTTGATCCCAGTGAGATCCTGATCCCAGTGGATCCTGATCCTGGTGGGATCCCGTTTCCGGTGAGATCCAGATCCCGGTAGTTATAGGGAACTCTCATACTTGACATAATTAGCCAGTTTACAAGCCACATAGCAATGGTTACGAGCACCTTACGAGAAATTCTATAGTTGTATTAACATTATTTGCTGCCTCACAAAGTTCGCGTATAAACCAAATGCTCCACCATTTAAAATTTCCGTTGGATCAACAATTTCATTTTCCATTTTGAACAAAATGATCCCACTACCAGCAATACCGCAAAACGAGTCCGTCTTATTCTATATAATCACTAGCCCTCTTCCTCATTTTACTCAGCGCAAATCAGTCACCATTTATAAGTGCATTTGCATAAGAAAAAAGGGGAGGGGTGCTCAAATTAAAGCTGACCAATCACAGACAACGTATTTGCAGGCATCAGTATGAAATGACTTTCAATAAATGATCCGAGTTCCCCCATTCCTGCAACGTCAAAAATATTTTTTTTTCTTTAAAAGTGGACACGTGATCACACATTGGTACATATTCATGGAACAGCCCCCCCCCCTCTTTTTTTTTTCAGCTTCACTCCAGGACAATGATGACATGTGTCCCCGCTGCCTTAGTCGGTGATCCACTTCTAATTTTTTTCCCCCCTCCCCCCCCCCCTCCCAAGACTTCAAGGGACTACCCGTATATTCCGAGCGCTCTGAGAGGAAAAAAATAAGAAAAAAAAGGGGGTGGGGAAGGAGGGCGCTCGTGCGTAATGAAAAATCTAAATTTCATTCTTTTTTGTGAACATGCCTACAGTTTGAAAATTTTGTTTCGCATACTAACTTATAGGTGGTTAAAAATCTGGCCATAGGCCGAAAAAAAAAATACAAAACAAATGGGGCTATGTAACTTTGGTTGGGGGATGTTTAAAGACTCTTTAGAAGTCAAATAAAAAGAAAAAAGGTGATTTAAAATTCATTATTAGTTTACTATAACTGCCTGTATTTAATTAATAAAGAATACACGTAAGTTTACATGATAAAATACGAAATGCGTTAAGACATAATATACGAACCTGAACTCCACTTTTACCCGATACCCTAGTTAATTAAGAAGTGGAAGTCGCCATCTAGACAATGAAATTACAATACTCATTTCCTTTGTGTTTCCAATGATACCAAAGTGCCTACATAATTTTTATTAAAAGTGCCTCATTTTAGTATTTATTTTATATATTTAATTTAAGGCCGGCACTACGTACTCCGCGGCGGTGTACCTAGAGAAACTATTGACTTTGGCCTGCGTACACCGCAGCGGTGTACCTAGCTAAATCATGGTCTGTGGCCTGCGTACACCTCAGCGATTTAAAGTAGCAAAACTATGGTCTTTGCGAGTCTTTAACTTTTTGGCCTAACCGATACTTGTAGATTTAATGTTATACTCGTGTTAAAACTGAAAACTATTTATTTAAAATTCTTTTATTACCTTGGAAAGATATTGAGTAAGTTCCACGCTTATGTGGCAAAGTACTTGTAAAGTATTTCTTATTATTTTTTGGAAGGGAGGGGGCTGGGGGTGTAATGTTAAACCATGATTTATTTTTTAAGTTAACCTCCTTATTCAAATATATTTATTAATTGTTGTAAGTTTTATCATATGATTGTGAATCTTAATAGGCATAAAGGGTAGCTAATTTGAAATTATTCTCTCCCCCCACCCTTTTTTTTTTTTTTTTTTTTTGGGGGGGGGGGGGGGCATTATAAATATAACATTGTACGTGATCCCTCCGGGCATGGTGTAAAGATTAATGGGAAGCCAGTGAATCTATTTAGTTAGCACCAAGATATAATTACGCCACAAATACACTACGGGAAGAGAATCACATAGGGTACTCATACATTGATCATGAAGTCATGAAGTTAAAGTTGTCTGAGGCATTGTCATTGTGATATCAAGCAATTGTGAACACAAAACAAGAGTTGATAAATACGAAACACTGCAATGATTTTTTAAAATCTTTTAACAATGATTAAATATCACTGAATGGGTTACATTGGCATTACACATTAATAGTAAAAAATGCCGGCCGGGGGGGGGATGCAAAAGGTAAGTTTGTTGTGCGGACGTCCTTTGTGGACAACCCCTATACAGAGCCGTGATTTGTGAATGCCCCCTTTTTGGTTAAGCCTGTGCCCATAACTCATCTCCACCCCCCACCCTCGGCAAGGATCGATTTCTTAACAAACAAAAAAAAAACCAAATACAAAAACTTTGACATAGTGCAAATCCTGTCCCAAGCCCATTGTGCAATGGTTTCTGTGAGAAAACGTCGTGTTTTACCCTGAGAATAGCACATGCCATGACATTCTGGAAACTAATTCCGTCGTGAAATACAGACCTATGGCTTTGCTATACAGTTTGCTACCGCTCCGCAAGTTTCTAAAATCGAGGCGTTTTCAAAAGATTTGCTGTGAGACTGAGTGTTGTGAATGAACCTTTGAAATCGTGTGTACATTTTGCTAATGCATAAGGCATAGTGAAAGCAAGATGGTTCAAGATTGAAATACGACCATGCACATTAATGACATTAATATTCATATGATATTAATGATATACTGGTATTTTCTTTGAGTGTTTGTAAAAGTAAAATGTAAATATTCAACTACACGAAGAATATTGAAATACAATAGAATATCACTTAGACACTTAGTATTCATAATGTTTCTCTTATACATGTTACATACACTATACATGCGCTTTCAGAAACTTTAAGTTTGTTTTCTAATGTCTAATGAGTATTTAGTCTAATGTCTTATTACTAAATTTACCGGTATTTTCAAAGTCTAAGGCCGGCACAACTTGTTGAAACACTTATATTTATATATATAAAGTGTATTCAATATAATATTTAAACATACATTTAAATTGTTAAAATTGCTACAAAATATTTTAAAACTAAAATGGGAGGAAAAAAAACTCGATCCCCTACTGGGAATTGATCTCAAAATATATTATCGACAAGTGTCCACTCTACCACTTGACCACACAAGATCTCCTCTAAAAAGCATATCTTAAAACCATGCCTATGATATATTTTTGCCGCGGTGTACCCAGGCCAAAGCCCACGATTTCGCTAAGTACACCGCCGCGGTTTACGCAGGCCAAAGCCGATGGTTTCGCTAGGTACACCGCTGCTGTGTAACTGTGTACGCATCCACTTCGTTAATTTAAATAAATTGTTGTTGATCACAATAATTATTTTTGGTGCACATGTAGCTAAGAAAACTTGCTTTTTTTAGCGGTAATCATATTCATATTGCTAAAAATTGTGGTAGGCATCAAGTGTGACAATGAATGTGGTGTGAGTACCGGCTGGTTGCGTTGCGGGTACCCCATGCCCATACATAACGTATGTTCGACTTAGCTATCGACTGGCCCATATAACATAAGCCCTCATTTTATTTACATTTTTAATTTACTGATTACAAATTAATTTAGAAGCTTTTTACTTTTGCCAAGCAGAAGCTAATTGAACTTTCTGGAAATCAGCTGCTAGCCGACGTACTTCTTCCCAGTCTGCCATTTTTTATCAACAATATTCAGGGGATGTCACTGTCGGCGATTTCTATTTTCTAAGCTTTCATAAAAAACAGTGGTTCTCACCTTTTCTAATGCCGTGACCCTTTAACACAGTGCCTCATGTTGTGGCAACCCCTAACCACAAAATGTTTTGTCGTTGCTGCTTCATAACTGTTGGGTATATGTGTTTTCCGATGGTCTTAGGTGACCCCTCTGAAAGGGTCATTCGACCCCCAAAGGGGTCGCAACCCACAGATTGAGAACCGCTGGTTTAAAAAGACTTTTAATCATTTAGATGACTCTGTACATAAAAGAGAATACATAATACATAAATACTATGTACACAAAATAGTGGCTTGACTTAACAATTTGATGATAAAGTTTATTAATTGAATACGAAAAGCTTGGAAATAAAAACAAATGGCTTAACTTAAAGAAATTATGAATACTGAAATCAAACAAAGGTATCAGTTTCTAGAAAAAGCAGCGCCCGGAGCAAAACCCGAATTTATGCACCCTCTTCCCAAAAAATATAAATTAATACATATATTTTTCACGAAAAATTAGAATTTTGGCGCTCTTTGGTGATAGCGCATTAATAGTTGCTACTTTAACCCTCCTTTCGCGTGGCTCTAATGTATTTGACAGGACGCATTATGATGCTCAAACCAATCAAAAACATATTATGATATACAAACACTTTTTAATGAGAGATAGTATTCTATTTCACCCTTAAACAAGAGAAAACCAAATAGGCGTATTCGGGAATCGGTAAAAAAAATTAAAAAAATGTTTTAAAAAATTGTCCCACTGAAGTTTAATAAAAAAAAATTGTCAATGGAGATTTATTTATTTAAATTTTTTTTAAGGGAAGGTGAGACTCAGAAATTGGGAAATTATAAAACTTTTCAATAAAATTTACTTTTTTTTTTAAACATATTTCATTTCAAACGTACTTCCATTGAAAAAAAATTCCGTTTGAGCAAAATTCCTTCAAATAAACTTCCAGCAAACAATTTACTTTTGAAAAAAATTCGTTCGTACAAATTTCTGGGAGCCAGGGAAACTGTATGCATTGATAAAAAAAACAAAAAAAACAAAAAAACATCAGGATAAAGTCCCGCGAAACCAGGGGTCACATATCAGAGATTTAAGAAAGAATAAAACTAAATTAACAGAGAGTCGAGAGAAATGGACAGGTTGGAGAAATGGACAACCCCCCTATGAAATCGAATATTGTGGACTAAAATGTTTTGGAACTAAATGAATGCATAAATTACTTCTTTTTGTGTTTTCTAAGCGTTTCCAGTTTCCAGATTTTATGGTCAGGTATCAAACAAATGAATCACGAGTTAAATTTTGGCATTAAAAAATGTTGTTTTGAACAAACCTCATCAAAGCGTCTAGAAATTTAACTAAATATAGTGTAATGCATCATATTTAGTTATAGTATTTCATATTAAATTTTATTATTTGCATCATGAACTTATATAATTTTTTTAATTCTGCATTACCCCATAGTGGGGTGAAACGTGCCAAAAAAATGGGGAGAAACGGAAATATATCCATTTATCCCCATTGACCACTGTTTATTTTCTTTATTCTTCATTACTGCATAATCTTGAAGTAATTAAAACGTATTAATATATTGAGCATGACTATAGTTAACTTTTAATAAAGATTTTGAATTATCAGTCATGATTTGTTGTAGCAAAACGTAGGTCCTAATTTTAGAAAATGTTTTGCTAAATATATATGTATGTATGATATGTACCGGTACTGTATAAATTAAATCTTCTTAATTTTGTAAAGCTTTTGTTTTAAAAAAACATTTTAAATTTACCATGGAATGAGAATTTTAAGTTTCCCATATTTTTTTCTAGCAGAAACTACACAAGAATACCCTTGGAAGATATGAGAAATGCTAGTCTAATGATGCCAGCAAAGGGGGAAAGTCGATGCCTGCAGCTGCTACTCTATTAGGACAAGTGACTATAGCGACTCTGACATGGACTTTGACCTGATAAGCGATGATGATTTCGATGACTTTATTTCAGACTGTGAACACTTGACAACTAATTGTGTTGGAATGAGTGGTGTTGAGGAATTTATGAAAGATGTGCTGTGTGAGTATAGTGTAAAAAAAGTCTGTGTTATTTTATGTTGCTGTTGTGAGGAAGAAAGTGGATGAAGATGGAGATGTGAAAGTAGAATTTTTAAGAAAAAGTGAGAAAGTGACTGGCAAATTTATAAGACCACACGTAGAAGTCATTGCTTGTGTGCCTATATTAAAGACATAAAATGCAAACGTATAAAATTACAAAAGACTAGGACAGCTAGGACTAAAGATTTTTTTTTCTGTAAAGAAAACCTGAGCTCTTTAAATGTTAAATAAATCTGTGTTTTTGTTTTGCTCAAATTACATTTTGTCTACATCGTTATGTTCAATAAATATACATAAAATGTAAAATGGTTTTGCTTATCTTTTTAATTACATTACATATTGTATGGTGCATTACAGCTCAACAGAGAGAAAATTAATAGAAAATGGGTAAAATATTAATTTGTTTAAACCACTTTTTAGTTAGCAGGCCATTTCTCCCAACATGGTGGTCCATTTCTCCCTTCTCTATGTCCATTTCTCCCAACCTACATTGTCATCAGTTTCTTTTGAATTTCACAAAAACTATCAAATTTATCAAAATGCAAATTAAGTTTTTAAGTGCACATTTGGACTGGCTATTAATAAGCCACATTTTTTGGTTATAACTTTCTATTTGTTAACACCAGCTGCATTCTTTGACTGGTGTTTATTTGGTGGCCCATTTCTCCCGACACTCCCTTATGCAAAAAAAAAAAGAAATTTTTTAATCAAGATTAGAGTTGCATTCTGTGCTGGCAAGTCTAATACTAAGCAATATGGCAGTGTAATTATGCAATCTTCTCACATCTAGCATATTGTTTATGTAATAGCATTTAGTGATGGATCTCTCTGTCGTTATTACATCAAGAAATGGCGTCAGCAGGGCGAGGTTTGCACTCTTTATGCCCCCCCCCCCCAAAACCCCCCCCCCCCGCCCACCTACTAAGCAATATGGCAGTGTAATTATGCAATCATCTCACATCTAGCATATTGTTTATGTAATAGCATTTAGTGATGGATCTCTCTGTCGTTATTACATCAAGAAATGGCGTCAGCAGGGCGAGGTTTGCACTCTTTATGCCCCCCCCCCCCAAATCACCCCTCCCCGGCCCAACGTATTCGGCCGCAGAGCGGCACGTCGGGGATGCCCACTCGTCAGGACGGCCCCCATCCGGGCCCCTCACCCAAGTCCCCGCCTGGGCGCTCGACCAGGGCCCCGCCTGGGGGCCGCCCCAAACAGTAGGCACCCGGTCAGTCCGACACTATGCGTTTAAATAGTGCACACGATCGACTTTCTTATGGAGTTGGGATGGAAAATTTACGTCCTAATATCTTCCTCCACCCATCCCGGGAAAGCGTCGGACGCCCTATAAGAGGGATTCCACAGTGGGTTTCCACAACGCAACTAGCTCGCGCTGTAGCAGGGACGAAATGGTTGCCTAGGGACAGCTTTCTCAAAGGTTGCATTGTTTGAATCCTCGGCCAGAGGTTACCACCCTCGCCTCTGGCCTCATACCCGTCACCGGCAACTTGTAATCATGATCCCTACCCTGGCTCTGCCTAATTTTCCGGCTGTGAAGTATCACAACTGGCAGCCCTGTGGGAGCTGTTTTATGTACGGCAGGTACCGAGCACACCCTTTGTCTGCCCACGCGAGGCGAGCCCAGTCGTTCTGTTTCCCGGCACACGCCGAGGGGGTCGGTGGCCGACGCGTCCTAATCGACAAGCCACAACAGACTTGCCAACCGGAAACCGGGATCCTCTCTGTCGTTAAAATGCGTAATTTCTAACACCATATATTATTTTTTTTTAAACAAGATTTTTTAGTTTTAGGCTTGAAAAGAAAAGACAATTGAACTGAATTTTCTGATAGCACTTTCTTCAACAGACAATACAAAACAAGAAATGACATAAGCTTAATTTTATTAAAAAATGAAGATAATATTTAAATTTAAGTGTATTTATGTGTTTAATCATATTTAAAAATCAAGAAATTGTATTAATAAGAAGAATTATTATCTATTTAAAAAGAAGAAGCTCAACTAACAAATTGTATTGACGATACAAAGCCATTTTTAATGTAAAATAAATATTATATGTGTATATTTCAATTATTATTTTTACTTTTTTTTTTAAAGGTCGTTGGTCCTTTTGCTGTTATTTATTGAAATCCTGATCGTGGATGTAGTACTTAAGTAACATTTACAATTTATGTTTGTAGAGCGTCGGCTTCACAATATTGCGTGGTACTTCCGCAAACAGGAAGTGAACTGGCTTTGTTGTGGTTAGTTGTGTTGTTATTTTGTTATAACTTGTTAACCAAACCAAAATATGGCAATATATAAACAAAACTTGTTAATTCAAATGGTTTTAATTTTTATGTTTTTTGTGACCAATATTTGTGAAGAAACCTCAGGAAGAACGATTGAAACAACCAAGTACCATCATTATGAAGAGGTTCTTACTCTATTTTCCGAACTGCATCAGCGATATCCCAATTTAACTGAAATACATAACATTGGAAATAGTGTGGAGAACAGAAGTTTGATTGCCATCCAAATAACTGACAATGTTAAAACTATCGAGCCGGGAGAGCCAATGTTTAAATATATTGGTAACATGCACGGAAATGAAGCTGTCGGTCGCGAAATTCTCATATATCTTGCTCAGTATTTACTATTTCAATATGAAGCAGGTGATCAACGTGTGAGAGAGTTGGTGGATTCTACCAACATATTCATAATGCCTTCCATGAATCCAGATGGTTTTGAAAAAGCAATTGAAGGAAGTTGTGGAACTGATTATGATGCCGGTGCTGGGCGTGAAAATGCAAATGGTGTTGATCTGAACAGAAATTTTCCTGATCAATTTAAAAATGATGTAATAATACTAGAACCAGAAACCCAATCGTTAATAAATTGGATCGAGAATAATCCTTTTGTATTATCAGCTAATCTGCATGGAGGTAGTGTAGTAGCTTCCTATCCCTTTGATGACTCTCCTAGTCACGCAGAGTCAGGTACTTACAGTGCAGCTCCTGATGACAAAGTTTTTCAGGAACTCGCTCACACATATGCCAATAATCACAAAACAATGTCTTCTGGTAATCTGTGTTCTCGAGATCATTTCAAAGATGGTATAACAAATGGTGCACAGTGGTATGATGTTCCTGGTAAGTTGACCTGAACTGTACAAATATTGCTGATATTACAATTTATTTGATTGTCTTAAGCTTTTAAAGTAAAAGCTATATTAATTATTTGATAACAAACTAGGCAACAATTTTTTGCTTTAAGCTATTTGTTAAACTTTATAGTTTCTATCTTTATAATAATTAACGTTAAATACTTTTTTATCAACTGGGTGTGTCAGGCGGGATGGAGGACTATAACTACTTGCACAGCAACTGCCTAGAGATAACAATTGAACTGTCTTGCTGCAAATATCCCCCTGCCACCGAGCTCTCTACAGAATGGAACAACAACAGAGAGTCACTACTGGCATATCTTGAAATGGTTTAGTTCTGCTTTGTTTATTTTTTGCTTAAAGTATAAATATGAATCAGTACTTTAAATACATTCAAGTATCCATCAGCTACACTTTTTACAGCTGCTGTCTTCAAAGAAATTATTTTTAAATTAAATTGAAATTAAAGTATAAATGGTTCTACCTGACCTATCATAATGGCTTAAAAATGTTGTGCCAATGTTCATTTTTTGTTGTTGATCTATTAGGTTCACATAGGCATCGGTGGATTTGTTTTTGACTCAGAGACTGGCCTGGGTATTCCCAATGCTAAAATAAAAGTGGACAAAATAAATCATGAAGTAAAAACTGCTGCATTGGGAGATTATTGGCGTTTGTTGGTGCCTGATACCTACACTATTCAAGCAACTGCTGAGGGGTAATTTTTCTTACATTAAAAACAGTATTAAACTACATTTCATTGTTATGGTAAATTGTTACCTACTCATTGTTATTAATTCAACATAATGGCATTATGTGTCAGTGTTTTGCCTGTATATTCGTTCTAATTTAAACTTTATATTGATGACACCACTATCATATTTTATTCAAAAGGGTGGGCTGAAAAAATGTTGTGTGTGGAAAATTATAGTATGAAAATATTGATTTGCTTATCTTTTTAGAGATATTATTTTTATGTATTAATTATTTCTATGCTAATTGTTTATTTCATTTGAACAGCTATGAAGAAAGTATAAAAAAGACTGTTTTAGTGCCAAGGGGAAGAGGTGTATCTGTCAACTTTACCTTGACCAGAGCTAACAGACAGACTGTTAAGTAAACACATTAAAAAATATTTTTAAAGATATTTGTTTCTGAATCTAATAAGCAATTTGAGTTAACTCTGTACAGGCCAATGTTTTTTTATTATTTTTATTTTCCTTTTTTTAGGGGATACCATACAAAGAGTAGCTAATTAATACTCATCATGTTATATATTTAATTGTTCGCAAATGAATGGGTATTTAAATTTTATAAAATGCGTGTGAAAATGATTGTGTGGTTTTTTACAATCATGATTGATATTATGTATAAATATTGATATTATGTATAAATTATTTTACATTTAAAAATTTTTTTTACATTAAAACATATTAGTGTAAGATGGAAGAAATAGTTTAATATTTATTGTAATTTAATTCAGCAGTATAATATACAAAATTTAAAAAAAAGAATTTTAAAAATACAACCATTGGTTCTCTTTTATTATATTTTTTTGCAAAACATGCGTAAATAGTGTTTTTGCAGATAAATTTAGACAAGTGATCTTACCATGCAGAATTATTCAAGTATTAAGTTTAAAATCTATTTTAAAATTTGTAAAAGTTTAATACAAATACATTTAAATCATTCCTAAAAAAAATACAAACACAATCTAAGAGTCTTCTGAGCTTAGGGGATGTTCTAACAAGAAACAATTATGTCACTTATTTAGACATGTTAGCATGAAAAATTAGCAGAATTTATGTATCTAACACAGATATAACAATAGTATAACAATAATAATAGTTATAATAATAAACATTATTTTATAATGTTAGGATAAGAAAAGTGACATGTTTTGCTCAAATAATTACTAAGCATAAAATCCTAAATATTTGGCCTATAGCTATAGTCCAAATATCATAAATTAGTAATGCAATTATAATATCAGATATTACTTAAATAGAATTTTAAATTTTTTCCATCTCATTTCTAGTTGTCTGCTTTTCAGAATCCAGAATATTGAGACCATGTTTTCTTTTAGGGATAAATTTAGGTATGGCCTGAGGGGGACCCTGGTCAACATCTTCATACATTTTTTTCCAAGTCAATTATCTGCACTGATTAGAGAAAAACAATATTCTAAATAAAGGCTATAAGAAATAAATATCTAGTAACACATTTTAAAAAGAATAAATTAATAACTTCCATCATTTACTCATTAGAGTTAGGCAAAAGACACAAACAACTACAAAAACAATGAAAACTAAAATCAGCTGTTTGATCAGCTAATTATTTAAACAAATTTTTAAAGTCAAAACACGATTGGAAAATAAAATTTTCATTACAAAATTGTTAGACTATAATTAGGAAACTATTAATTAACTGTTCAATATATTTTGTTGCTCAGATTATTTGGAAATGTTAATTTTAAGGGCTTGATCGAGTGGATAGCTAGACTTACATTGTGTGAAACTGTACTTGTGTAGGTAAAGTTACATCCATGTCTTCATCTGATATTTTTTCATATTGATCTGTATCCCAATCATCAGAAGAGTCACTTAGGGATTCATCTCAGTCAATTTTAATGTATTCTATACTCATTTTGGATTTTGAAATTATTTTTTATTAAATCAGCTAGCTTGATTTAAGTCACAACAAGAAAACAAAATGGATGACATAAATGCGTCTCTGTAGCAATAATTTAAAATTTGTTTTAAACAACGTATAATTATGATTAAAACTCTTATTTTTATAAATTAAATCCTTTTTATAACAATAACATTTTTTAGTTCTTAACTATATAAAAAATAAATACACCCCTTTCTCACCCGGCGAAAACGCCGGATTTCTCTACCATTGGCTCATACAGAGTTAAAGTATAATATACATTTTACTAAAAATCCCTAATTTGAAAATTTTCTTTTTTGTTCATTTGTGGGGTATGAAGTCCATTATGGCTAAAGAAATTGACAAAAATAAGGTCTTATGCTGCCTGTGTTTTTTAAATTTCTAACTTAATTAGTTAACAATCCCTGAAAATTATAATATAATTTTTTAGTGAATAGATCATTTTTTAATTTCTTTTTTAAAGTTAAAATCTTGCTCAGAGAGTTCTTGACTCATAAAATATTTATTTTTATTTTCCAGCACAGGACCAAAAACTCAAGATCCCATAGAAAAATTGGTAGCTCTTGTTAATTCACTGCAGGATTTCAGGTATCAAAATGTAGCCACTAACTCAGGATTTTTGAAAATTTCCTCCATCTAGAAGATAGAAACACAGGAAACTTTATCACTGATTATTAACAATTATTATTATTAGAAACAATTAAACCATTATGGCCATTAAAGGGAGATAAAAAAAACAACATCTGCATGTACCTGATCTCAACTAAAAGCATTCTAAAATAATATCTAGATTTATAAAAAGTAAAACAGAATAAATGCCTTTTTTTTAAATAAAGAAAACAATTGATTTCACACAAGTTTTTACAAGCAGAAATAAGCTGTATGTTTATTCAAAATCAATCACTTATCTTTATGATGTACCCATTAAGCTGTATATATTAACTGAGAATCTAACTCAATTTTGTAATAGCCACCATGCCAGCACACATTTCAAAGAGCCGACAGACTTCACTCACCACAACAACACTGAGATGACAGAACTTCTGCGCAGCCTGGCCCAGAGATTCCCCAAAATAACTCGATTATATTCAATTGGTCAGTCTGTCCAAGGGCGAGAACTCTGGGTTCTGGAGATCTCTGACAATCCTCAAGAGCATACACCAGGTATGGGATTAACCTAAGTAAATTTGCCACCTCATATTACACTTTAGGGTATTGGGCTAATTATAGAGACTGACAGAAAGGGATTTTCCGATTTCAACCGAAACCAGACAAAAAGTTAAAGGATTTTTGGCTAAAACCATAAGTTTAACAAGTTTTGGGCCAAAACCGAAAGATTTAAAAATTTGTTATCGCATACATTCTGCGCACCACGAAAAATGACTTATCAACTTTTGTGGAAATTTTAATTTGTCTTAAGTGACTTTCATACAATGTACCCAAAGAATTTAACCTCCACACACACACCCCCCCCCACACCAACGTTTTTTTTACCATCAGTAAACTATAAACCTCTTAACTACCATTTTTAGCCAACTGAACTTATTGGGACCTAAACATTCCTGTTTATCATCCCAATTGGATCAGGCTTAACACTGAAATAGTCAATGTAAAATTTTCCCTAGCTTGTCATCACCCCCCCCCCACACACACACACACACACACACAAAATAAATTTTACCAATTTTTGTATCTTCATCGTGAATGGCTCTCGATAACAATCTATATGGGAGAATTAATATTTTGTTATCTTAATGTTACAGTCAAAGTGTGTAATCCAGGCATTCACTAGAATGCCTTAGAAAATTACACCTTGACTAGGCATTCTATAGAATAAGTGGATTACACACTTCACCTGTAACATTTAAATATATGAATAAATCTAATAATTTTTTTTGTAATGTAATTTTAGAATACAGAAAATCATTACTTGACCAAAAATTTAATTTCGGCTTTCTTCCACCTACTATAACTAGTTCTAGGCCCACAATATAAAAAAATAGTTAAAACCTCTACATTAAATGACAGAATAGGAATTTAAATGTTTGCATGTAGGTGTCATGTATAAGGGAAATATGCATGGCGATGAGGTGGTTGAAAATCAACAGGGTGGCTGGTAGAGTTTATGGACATAATCATAATTATTGGTGTGATGTTTCTTTGTAGGAGAGCCGGAGTTTAAGTACATTGGTAACATGCACGGCAATGAGGTGGTTGGAAGGGAGATGCTATTGTTGCTTGCACAGCTGCTCTGTGAAAATTATGGCACTGATGAATTGGTGACCTTGATGGTTCAACAGACTCATATACATATCCTGCCCACCATGAACCCTGACGGTTACGAAATGAGTCTAGAAGGTGAGTGTCTATAATCAAGTTAGTATCTGAAGTTCAAGGGTTATGGGATTAAAGCTGATTTTCCCTACAGTGTATTTTAATTAGCACATTTTACGAGGGATGTTTGAATGTGTCTACCACTAGCATTAAATCATCTTATTGTAACTCTTAATTAAACTGTATTAAAAGATGTTTTCTAACCCAGGTGACTTACAAGGAGTGGTTGGCCGCGCCAATGCTAATGGCGTAGATCTCAATAGAAACTTCCCAGGTATTTTTAAGACAACACAGACCAACGAGGTCCAGGAAGTGGAGACAATGAATGTGATCAACTGGTCCAGATCATACCCCTTTGTGCTCTCAGCCAATCTGCATGGTGGCTCTCTCGTGGCCAACTACCCTTATGATGATTACCCAGCAGGCCATGCAGTGTCTTCTGTTTCAAGAGACTCAAAATCGCCAGACAATGCCATATTTGTTCAGCTTGCTGAGTCCTACTCTCTTGTGAGTTTACATTTAAAATGAAGATTGAACACAAATATGAATTGAAGAAAGATTTAGATTTCTTTAGAATTTTTAAGCTTCTTTCTTTCTTGTATTATCAGTAGCAAAATTTTGTTGAAAAGGAGTTAATAGGCTAGTTAACTATTTTCTTAGCATCTTTTAGATTCTCTTTTTTGACCCAGTTTAAATTGTTTCATTTTTAAAGGAAGAAATTAGTAATAGTTTCTGATTCAATTATCTCATGCAAAAAAAAAAAAAGATATGATTTTGTGTGTTAGTTTCCTAAATTATACTTTTATATCTTTAAACCTATTGTAACTTAACAACTATCCAACCCTCATCTGTGTATGTATACTATTTATTTTTTACTCTAGTGTTGTATTGAAGTATTTTTTAATACAAGTTGTCTTTTTTAGGCTCATTCAACCATGCACAGTGGTCACCCCTGTCCAAAGCAAGATAGCTCCTACTTTCGTGATGGTATCACTAATGGTGCAAGCTGGTATGTGGTTTCAGGTAGGGACATTTGAAATCTTTTAATACATTTCTGTATTCAAAATTTTTTCTGTTTCTTGACAAGAAATTTCTTATTGAATTTATTATAAAGTTATGTCAGGTGCAGCCATTTTTATATTTGTCAGTGTGCTGTTGGGGGAGGAAATAATTTACATAAGTACATACATTTAATGGAAAAAGATATATTTTATTTTAGGAGTAGAGTTGCTTATTGAAATACTGAACCTTTCTTTTTATTGTGCATCCACTTAAGGAAATAGACACATATTATTTTATGAGTGCCTCAGGTTTGCTTATCAGGTTAGCCTATTCAAAAAAATAGAATTTACAAATATCTAAATCTCGGCATTTTTTATGACAAGCAAATTATTTTACAGACATTTATAAAATAAACATACAAATCTAAAATAAAAATGTATAATTTTTGTCCTACATCTCATTTTTTTTTAACAACTTCATAATGGGCTTTTGACCTTTCACATACAAGTCATTTTAGATAAAATTTGTAAATTTATGGTTATTTGGCAACCCTGGAGTGCATATACTTACAGGAATAAATAATTTGTATAAATACCTAGTGGAATTGAAAAATCTACTTTAAATAGTGAATATATTTAATAGAAACAAAAACTTTTTATTTTAAAAGCGCCTATACTTAATGAAATATGGAAATGATCTTTATCAGGAGGTATGCAAGACTGGAACTATGGCTTCACAAGTTGTTTCGAATTGACCATTGAACTTAGCTGTGACAAGTTTCCATTCCAGAAAGATTTGCCAAAATACTGGGAGGCAAACAAAGACTCTCTGCTTGTATATATGGGGCAGGTTTGTACACATTCCCAGTATGTATGTATAAATGGGGCAACTTTGTACATTTTTCTCAGTAGGTTTATTTTGGACAATTTTGTATACCTTTCTCAGTAGGTTTATATGGGACAGGTTTGTACAACTGATGGTTTATATGTGGCAGGTTTGTACACTTTTGGTGCCCTATTTTGCTTATATAATTACAAAGGTTAACATATATGCAATGATTGATTGCCATAAAGTTTATTTGGTAAAAATTAGGCCATTTTTGTTTCAATATTCACTTAATTTGTTTAAATTAACCAATTTATAAATTTGCCAAAATTACTTTTGTTTTGATTTTGTCATATTTAACTTCAAAAGTTATTTGTGAATAATTAAAACATTTCCACCCTACAATTCCCAGGTACACAAAGGAGTGAGAGGATTTGTCATGGACAAAGATTCAATGTCAGGCATTTATAATGCCTCAATTACAGTAACAGGAATCAACCACACTGTCAGATCGGCCAGTCACGGGGATTACTGGAGACTGCTCAGCCCTGGAACATACACACTGACGGCCAGTGCCGCTGGGTAGGTCAAAGCCCTGTAATAAGTGCTGTAGTTGGATTCTGTTTAAAATGAACATTTAGCACCATGAAATTGTATTACCACACAGCATTCTGTCATGAATGTAGAGTAAAAGAAAAACAATCTTTTTGCTCCCAGATACAAGCCCCAGTCTCTCATTGTCATGGTCAGCTCTGGAGCTGCTGTATCCATCAACTTCACACTGGAGGTGGTGGACACTGTGAACTGGTCTGTCATCAAGGATTTTGACTTGACTGACAACATGAAGTCTGACCAGTATATGTCCAGCACTGCCATTGTGGAGGAGTTCACCAAGCTGGCCAGCATCAACCCCTTGTTGGCACAAATGGAACATTTGAGTGGCACTGACCAGGAGATACCCATTCTCCACTTGTTCTCAGTAAGTGTCACAACCAATTGTAACTCAATATTTAAAAAAACTGAAGAATACAGGAGATTCCTGTTTAATAAAGTTTGACCATGCAATGTCAATAATTCAATGAGCTCATTAAGGTAGAGCTGCCTTGGCACTACCAATAAAAACCTTGGCAAGCAATGTCAATAATTCAATGAGCTCATTAAGGTAGAGCTGCCTTGGCACTACCAATAAAAACCTTGGCAAGCAATGTCAATAATTCAATGAGCTCATTAAGGTAGAGCTGTCTTGGCACTACCAATAAAAACCTTGGCAAGCAATGTCAATAATTCAATGAGCTCATTAAGGTAGAGCTGTCTTGGCACTACCAATAAAAACCTTGGCAAGCAATGTCAATAATTCAATGAGCTCATTAAGGTAGAGCTGCCTTGGCACTACAAATAAAAACCTTGGCAAGCAATGTCAATAATTCAATGAGCTCATTAAGGTAGAGCTGCCTTGGCACTACCAATAAAAACCTTGGCAAGCAATGTCAATAATTCAATGAGCTCATTAAGGTAGAGCTGACTTGGCACTACCAATAAAAACCTTGGCAAGCAGTGTCAATAATTAAATGAGCTCATTAAGGTAGAGCTGTCTTGGCACTACCAATAAAAACCTTGGCAAGCAATGTCAATAATTAAATGAGCTCATTAAGGTAGAGCTGTCTTGGTAATACCAATAAAAACCTTGGCAAGCAATGTCAATAATTCAATGAGCTCATTAAGGTAGAGCTGTCTTGGTACTGCCAATAAAAACCTTGGCAAGCAATGTCAATAATTCAATGAGCTCATTAAGGTAGAGCTGCCTTGGCACTACCAATAAAAACCTTGGCAAGCAATGTCAATAATTCAATGAGCTCATTAAGGTAGAGCTGCCTTGGCACTACCAATAAAAACCTTGGCAAGATATCTCTCAGGGAACCTTACAGTCTGGCTGATAATCCCTCTAACTGTCACACTGGCTAAATCCTACGTAGATTAGGAGATTTTCGTCTCCCCAGGGTGGGAGAGGGATGTCTTATTTCATCACCCCTTTTCCTGACATAGAGGAAGTTAAGAGACTTTTGTGTTTGGCAGAGAACCACCTTGAACCATGACCTGGGTGGACCAGAGGCGTAGGGAAGTTTTTCCTAGAATGTTGCTTGCTGCCCAACATGTTTAGTTGAGGTGATGGTACATTCAAAGGACCTGGCCACCTTAGAATATCTTACAGCCATGTTCTATCACATCAATGGTTTTTACTCGTGCAATGAACAAAGCCTATTTAGCCTTATGTTAAAAATAAGGCTCTACCTTTTTTGTGATTAGAAGATAAACAACAGTAGACAGCCTTAGAGATAAAGTAATATGATCATGTCCCCGTACTGGAATAAATATATGCTTATTTCACAGACACCTGCCCATTTGACACAACTTGACAACCGACCCCATGTGCTGCTGATTGGTGGTTTGGATGGGGATTCACCTATTGGGGCAGAGATTCTCATCCGTTTGGCTCGGCATCTCATTACGGGTAATGATGACCTATTTAATTTACCTCCTGAAATAGAAATTAAAATGTGAATTATTTATTTGATTTGTTAGAATGTAATATTTAGAGGAAAGCGTGGGAAGGTTTTCAAAAACATGTATCTGGCTTCTTCCCCAGGTTACAACCAGAAAGAACCAGTTATTGCAAAGATTCTCAACACTGTGCACATCCACATCATACCCCAGTTGAAGCCAGCAAACTCTGACCTGGCTGTTCCTGGAGACTGCAAGGGAGAGAACTTTACAGGAAAACACATGAATCAGCTGATAAATGAACAGGTAAAATGAGAACAGCTCTAAGTCAAATTTCAGTTTTTGGGATGAGTGTCGCATTTGACAGATTACCCAGAATGAAATTTTTTTTCAGCCTATTTTGTTGTTTTTTTACCTTATTGATAACCTTGGCCTACTTTCAGGATTCAGCCGTGTCTGCACTCATCAGTTATGTGGCTGTCCACAAGTTTGACTTTGTTCTGAATTTGGAAGGTGGTGGAAAGTTTATTGTGTGAGTAAAAAACTTGGGAGCTCTTTCTCAAGTATAATTTTGTTTTCTTCTTAACTATTTTTAAATCTTTGCCAAACCCAAAGAAATAAAATTATTTATTTAGTTCAAATACAAGTTATTTGCAACCATTCTTTGAAAAGCCTTTTTTTAAAAACAGAATTCCTAGAAATACCCTGGACAGCAGCAGCCTTAGTTATATGACACCTGATGAAGATGTTCTACAAGAGCTGTCTGCAGCCTTCGCCATGTCCATGACAGAGATTTACCACAAAGACGCCTGCAGCAGTTCTGTATACTCTGGGATTATACATGGTGTGGACATGGGGCAAGAGGCTGCTGCTTTGGCTGACACACTTTACTCCAAGTACAGAACCATGATGGTAGGTTCGGGGACATGATGTCCACCAAGTACAGAACCATGATGGATAGTTGGGGGGCATGATGTCCACCAAGTACAGGACCCTGATGGTAGGTTGGGGGGCATGATGTCCACCAAGTACAGAACCATGATGGTAGGTTCGGGGAGATGATGTCCACCAAATACAGAACCATGATGGTAGGTTCGGGGAAATGATGTCCACCAAATACAGGACCCTGATGGTAGTTTGGGGGGCATGATGTCCACCAAGTACAGGACCCTGATGGTAGGTTGGCGGGCATGATGTCCACCAAGTACAGGACCCTGATGGTAGGTTGGGGGGCATGATGTCCACCAAGTACAGGACCCTGATGGTAGGTTGGGGCATGATGTCCACCAAGTACAGGGCCCTGATGGTAGGTTGGGGGGCATGATGTCCACCAAGTACAGGACCCTGATGGTAGGTTGGGGGGCATGATGTCCACCAAGTACATGACCCTGATGGTAGGTTGGGGGGCATGATGTCCACCAAGTACAGGACCCTGATGGTAGGTTGTGGGGCATGATGTCCACCAAGTACAGGGCCCTGATGGTAGGTTGGGGGGCATGATGTCCACCAAGTACAGGACCCTGATGGTAGGATGGGGGGATTAAATTTGAGGCACATTGGATCGTAGCAATAAAAAGCAAATTGTAAAGCTTCCATGTAAATATTTTAAAATTATTTTTGTTTTTGTTTTTTATTCTTGTAGAGCGTTCCTTTAAAACAATGTTGCCCTTATTCATCTATGATGTTTTATATATATCTATGAATGGAGATATGGGGTGAAAACTTAATGTGGAGTTTTCCAAGTCTAGAAATTGTTTATAGAACACTATTTAGGCAATTTTTCAAATATTTGTACTACTTGGCTGTATAAATTTCTCCCCCTACAGCTTTCTGCCCATGTCACCTGCTGTAAATATCCCCCAAGCTCGGAGCTGCCCAAAATTTGGATGGCATCACTTCAGCCAATATTGAACACATTAACCAAATCTCTTCAGGGTTAGTTCACAAACTTTGAGATCATTATATCTCCAATATTACGTCTTTTTATTTACTCTAATTCAGCACTTCCAAACTTTTAAGTTTGGCTGAGTGGTTGTGGACAGTTTCAAAATGGCATCAGGGACAGGCACCAGATGTATTCATTGTTGTGTGGACCGACAAGTTAGGCTTGCAGACCGGTGCCGGTCCTGGGACCACCATTTGGGGAAGACTTGGCCAACTAACAAGTCTGGATGAGTTCAAATGATTAGACTCTTAGATGCCCTATGTTGGGGAGAGATGGTTTGGTGGGGAAGAGAGTGTTAGTGTTAGGGTAGACAGCGGTGTTAGGGCTGGTGTGGGAGAGAAAAGATTAGTAGTTTCTTGCGCTTTCACAAAGCTGAGTATATGTTAATACTGAAAAAATGAAATGAACTTTGCATTTAGTAGACAAGAAATTGACTTGATAAATGATTGCCTCAATGTTACAGTCTTAGTTTTGGTTCAATATTATTTCAGTTCTGGCCCTCATAAGTATTTGTGTTTATTTAAAAAAACTATTTTCTTCTTTTTATTTCATCTTATCAGGCATTCAAGGGGCAGTAACCAATGATGGACAGGAACCAATAGGAGCTTACTCATTTCAGCTGGACAACAAATCCAAGGTCAAATTAACTGGTCCATTTTTCTGGTTAACCAGTCGAGGCTATCATACCATCACAATAGAGGCTGAAGGTAGGAATGTGTGTACAATATGTTTACATAATAAAAGAATTATAATTATACAAATCCTGTAGAGAATACTGTGTTAAATGTCAATTTGCCAATGTTGTTACATCTACGTGATGTTAAATGAGTCAATTCTGACATAAGACTTAAGTGTATTTGAAATTGTTTACATCTGCATGTTGTTAAATGTGTTAACCAGGCTACAGTTCTGTGACACGCCAGGTGATTGTGGCTGATGACACTTCTGTGGTACTGAATATTGAGTTAAAGGAGGAGGACACAAGCGGAATGGTGTATCATAACTTCACACTGATGACCTCAACCTTGAAAAACCTGACCTCCAAATGTCCTGAAATAATGGAACTTACAAGGTTTGATTTTAAAAGCTATTGGCATTGGAAATTTCATTCCCATTATGTTGATATTTTTATTCCCATTATTTTGATATTTTATTCCCATTATTGTTGAAATTATTTTTATAAAATCATGTGAGATCATATTTGATCCAATGTTTCCAGTGCCGGCAAGACCAAGCTGGACTCAGACATCTGGCTGTTGCGTGTTGGACGCAAGAAAACAGAGGATCACATACCCCCCAAGATTGTGTTTATTGGCAACATGCATGGGGAGGATATGGTGTCCAGGGAGATGTTGCTGCACCTCTCCATTTTTCTGTGTGACCAGTACGAGGCCGATGACTATGTTAAACAGGTCCGTCTGGGGAGGTTTATTTCTGCATCTTTACCATGCAACTATATTTCAAGCGAGTAGAGAGTTTTGAAGATTACCACTGATATATAAAACTTTACTTTTACTCCAACCTGGCAGATGCTGAATGATATCCAGGTTTACATCATGCCTGCAGTCAACGTCGATGGCTCTCAGCTTGCCATGCCAGATTCCTGCAACAAAGGCCTGGGCCACAACAATTCTCTTAACGTGGATATTGACTCAAATTTTTTAGGTTAGTCTTGGCGCTGGCACCAAATGTATTGACAAGATGTGGAGTATAAAGCTAATGTAAATTGTATCGAAAAAATGAATGTAGTGTGTGAGACTGTCCCTTTGTGATGGCACGAATTTATATAGACCTGTATATGTTAGAAAACACTGCCCTTTAACCTTTATGATTAATCTAGGTGATGAGGACTACCATCACCCTGAGGACGAGCAGGTCGAGACTAAAGCTGTCAAGAGGGTGATAGCAGAGAGTCATTCTCCCATTGTGGTCAATGTCAGAAGTGGTAACAATCGTGTTGCTTATTTTGGGATCACTGACAAAGGTAGTGTCTTACTTGTTGATTGCTATACATTTTAGCTACATGTTATTAATTATTATTATTTACAAGGATTATTTATTGTAAAATTATTTTTGTCCAGATTTTTTTTATACAATGATTTTATTATTATTAGGGGTATGATTATGTTTTGTTAAGTTACTCAGACCTTTCAACCCCTACGGTTTCACCGTAGTAACTACATACCTGAGCCTAAGACTACAGCACTATGACAAGCCTAAAAAAGTTACGGTTTCTTGGATGTTTTCATTTCTTTGGTTTATTTTTTATAAAAAATTAATTTATTGGGGTGTTTTCAGTAAAAAGTTACAGCAGTTTTTGTGTTAACATAGCATGCAATCAAATAAGAATAACAGTGATGGGCCTTTGCTGTCTCTATCTCAATGAACCAACCAGAATATTTTTCTTTTAGAGAATGCGTCGTTAGCCACTTCATTACCGCAGGGTTTTGGGCATAGATTTTTGCTGACTCTGCAACAAAAAACTTAAAAGATGAAATTTTCGGTATATTTCATTCTCTATTCGTTTTTTAACTTCTCTATAGATTAACGAATAAGGAAATATAAAGCATTGAAATTTGACGTCGACGTGACGTCCTTTGGTATTTCAGAAAAGTTCTTAAATTTTTTTATGACGTCGATGGGATGTCCTTGATAATTGAAAGTGGGTGATCGTGACGTCGCGTCGACGTCATCAGTATTGAAGTGGTTAATACTAATTATACTTAATACCAATGTGTTTTTAGCCCTACTGTTGCTTATCGATTGGATTTGGTCTCAATGACTAAGTGGTTTCCCCTTGATTGCCCATCCACTTTCCAAGTTTCTGATGTTTTCGTATTTAAAAAAATAACAATTTGCACTGTAATGCTTTGGAAGTTTTTTCCTATTTAGTTCACCTATCAACAGACATATTTAGGGTAAGTAAAGTGTAAAATTATTTAAATAAAGTCAATAATTATTTTAATGTTTTTCTAGCTTTTAATTGTTAGATAGCCCTTTTTAAATAGACCAAAACTTTCTCTTTGTCAACTATGTGACCAATGACTAAAAATAAAATTATCTGTTTGTTGTCTACTACTAAGTCATATACTAACTTTTCACAAAGCTTAGCCTTAGCCTACTTTTTTTCCGGCTTTATGGTAAGACTAATGATTATAAAAATATTAATTCGACAAGTAATAATAGAAGCTTACAGTATGAGTTGTTGTTCTACCCTATGCTATGATTATGATCAAAGTAGAGGAATTTGATTTGTAAATTTAACTTACAGTTTGCGACCGCTGTACTTTATTTAAACTTAGTAATATACCCTTTTTTTAAATCTAAAATATAACGTCTAGACTTTAAAACAAAATTAATTATTTAAAGGCTGAAGTTATTATTAAATTATTTTTTTCGTAGTTCAAAAAATAATTGACTTATTAATAGTGCAAAATTAACACTAAATGCCGCCATTTCACTTTTCATTGTTCAATAGGTTTTTGATACCCCTTCTTTCGCACTTGATTGGCTCAGTCCTACGTCACTGCAGAGGCCTATTGATACTGGTATAAGTAGTTTAATATGAAATATGACCTCTATGAGCCTAATATGATAATGTATTAATTCTTTTTTGTTTCTATTTTCAGGGTCTAGGGTTAATAAAATAATGCCAACAGCACCTTTAACGACTGATGATGAATCAAGGTTGAACAACTCACCACTGCTACACTCTACTAGATTTATTGATATCAAGCATATTTACAGGACAGTCCTCATGTGCCATCTGGAGACCTCAGGTGTCCACATCTGGAACTTCTCAGTCAAGTTCTCAATTTATGTGTCCAAATATGAAACCCAGATTAAAGAGGTTTTATAGACACTAAAGTGTGTTTACTCTAACTGACGCATTTTCCTCGAAAGAAAAAGACATGGACTCCATATATGAAAAAAAATTTCTACTTGTGGTAGCTAAATACATATTCTAGAATCCCACAGATATTAGGCATCTTGCTAAACTTTTACAGGACTTCAAAAATCAAGGCAAAAAATTGTAAAATCTGTTTTAGTAAACTGATGAAAAATGTGCACTTTTGCTAGGAAATTTAATAAATATATATTCATGTATTCCCTTTTATTGTTAATTTTTGTTCTTATGTTTCTATATTGTTTTTAATTTTACAAATTCATTCTTGTTTTCATCTAACCAGTACAAAAAAAAAACAACCTTTTCTCATTCTGAAGAAACAAATCGGAAGACTTGATTCTGTTTATTTATTTGTGTTAACTTATATAACCAGCTGAGTGCAATTCCTGACACAACTTGTATTTTGATTTAAAATCAGCAGTGAGCGTCGCCCCCGTCGCCCCCCACCCCCCNTGTGTCAAGTGTTGGAGTGCCAGTAAATACAGTCACATCAAACCCTTTTGTTTGTGTCAAGTGTTGGAGTGCCAGTAAATACAGTCACATCAAACCCTTTTGTTTGTGTCAAGTGTTGGAGTGCCAGTAAATACAGTCACATCAAACCCTTTTGTTTGTGTCAAGTGTTGGAGTGCCAGTAAATACAGTCACATCAAACCCTTTTGTTTGTGTCAAGTGTTGGAGTGCCAGTAAATACAGTCACATCAAACCCTTTTGTTTGTGTCAAGTGTTGGAGTGCCAGTAAATACAGTCACATCAAACCCTTTTGTTTGTGTCAAGTGTTGGAGTGCCAGTAAATACAGTCACATCAAACCCTTTTGTTTGTGTCAAGTGTTGGAGTGCCAGTAAATACAGTCACATCAAACCCTTTTGTTTGTGTCAAGTGTTGGAGTGCCAGTAAATACAGTCACATCAAACCCTTTTGTTTGTGTCAAGTGTTGGAGTGCCAGTAAATACAGTCACATAAGATAAGATAAGATTCTTTTATTGATCCAAATAAATGGAAATGTCTTTTTATTGCATTATACATTTTCAGCACAAAAATAAAATAATTTGAACACAAGACGTTTATAATAAATTATTTCAAACAGCCATTCAGTGAGTTCTCTTAGCAAAATCGGGGACTTATTAGTTCTCATTCAGATGTGTGACTTCAAAGGAAGCATGCCGGTAAATTCGTACAGATTGGGGAACAAAAGAATTTTTATATCGGTCAGTCCTCGCCCTGATGGAAAGAATTTGTCCCGAACGGTCCGATCCTAATTATCTAGGATGAAGAGGGTGGGATGTATCATCCAAAATGTGTTTAGTTTTACAAAAACATCTTTTTTCAAATAATTCTTCAAGTGAAGGATGTTTAGTTTGTGTTATGTTTCTAGCTTTCTTGATTAGGTGGTTTATGCGGTGTCTAATAACAGACTTTGAATTCCCACACCAGCAGGTAATACTGAAATTAAGCAGGCGTCCAATAGTTGCACTGTAGAATAAGTTAACGACTTGCTTGTTTACGCCAAAATTGTACAGTTTTTTGAGGTAGGACAGTCTTTGGTTGAATTTCTTATACAGGATTTGGTCGTGCTCATGCCATGTTAGCTTATTATTAATGGTGACACCTAAGTACTTGTACGCCTCCACTTTCTCCACATTTTGATTTTTAATGTTGAGATTTGTAATCAGGTGTTTCCCCCTCCTGAAATCAACAACCATTTCTTTTGTTTTTGAGACATTCAACTGGAGAAAATTTTCATCGCACCAATTGATAAAGCTTGTTACTAAGTTACGGTATAGGCCTTCTCCTTCAGATATTAAGCCAACAATGGTGGTATCATCAGCAAATTTTAAGATTGGAACGGTGTTGCTTGAGCTTTGAATATCATTTTTATATATTGTATACAATACAGGAGAGAGAACGCAGCCTTGTGGTGCCCCGGTGCTTATTTCTCTGGTTAGAGATACTTGGTTATTTACTTTGACATGTCGATTTGTTAAAAAGTTCAGTATCCAAGCCTGAATATTTAAATTGACACCTAACGAGGAAAGTTTCTTTATCATAAGGTGTGGTTGGATGGTGTTAAATGCTGATGAGAAGTCTAAGAAAAGCACTCTGGCATATGTTTTAGGGCTGTTTAGGTGATGGTAAAGTCTCGCCAACAATAGTAAGATTGCATCCTCCATACTTCTGGCAGGTTTGTAAGCAAATTGGTGGGGGTCAAGTTTTTGCTGTACTACATTCAAAATTTCTTTCAGAATTATTTTCTCCAATCATTTCAAGACAATAGAGGTAAGTGCGACAGGTCGTAAGTCGTTGTTGCACATTACCTTAATTTTCTTTGGAATTGGTATGATTTCTGAAGTTTTCCATATTGCTGGTATTGTGTGAGTTACATAAGATTTATTAAATATGTAACAAAAATGTAGGAGAGCTGCTCTGAACATAGTTTAATGAGCCGACCACTTAATTTGTCTGGTCCCGAGGCCTTGGCTGCGTCCACTTGTTTAAATAATGACATCACTCTCTGTTCGGTAAACAATAAACTACCATCTTGTATACTACTGCCATCTTGAAATGAATTCATCATCTCATTGTGCACTCTTCCAAAGTCCAGGCTGTCAAAACGACAATAAAAGTCATTTAAGTCGTTAACAAAATTCCTTACGTCCTCAACACACAAGCATTCTCACTTAGGAGTATATCCTGTTATTTGCTTGAGTCCTGCCCAACAAGCCTTTGAGTTGTTAGTAGTGAATAATTTTTCGATTTTTTGCTTGTATTGTTTTTTCCCCTGATATATTTTTTCTTTCAATAATTTTTTAGCTTTAATGAATTCCTGATCGTTAATCTTAAACATGATCTTCTTGTGGTGGATGGCCTCCTTTATTTCTCTGCTCATCCAGGGTTTGTTGTTGTTGAATACTCGGATGGTTTTTTGGGGAATAATTTCATCTACACTGAACTTAATTAGGAATTGACGGTGTTTGTTAGCTCGTCAATGTCCGTGCAAGTGTTAATAAACGTGTCCCAGTCTGTACATTCCAAGCAGGCCTGAAGTTCTTCTGTCGCCTCATCTGACCACAGTTAAATAGTTTTTTATTGAATTTTTGTTGTTTTTAAAACTGGCTTATAGCATGGCGTTAGGCAGACCATTGTGTGGTCGGATTCTCCTAGAGGAAATAAAGCACGACATGTGTAGGCCTTTTTTATATTACTATAACACATATCCAGAGTTCGGTCTTGTCGCGTGGGGCAAGTAACATACTGGATATAAGTTGGCATGGATTTATTCAGTGATAGTTGATTAAAAGTCCCCCATAACAAGACGAACGGAGTCTGGGTTTTTTGTTTCAAAATCATGGATTACATCCAAAAGTCTCTCAGCAGCCTGCTCCTTGTTAGCATTAGGTGGAATGTAATTAAGGATGATACATATTTGGGTGAACTCCCTAGGTAGGTAAAATGGCCTTAAAGTAATGCAGAGTAGTTCTATGTCGGGTGTACAAACTACGTGTTTCACTGTACTGTTGTTGATGCTACAGTAGTTTTTGTTAACATATATTGCCAATCCCCCTCCCTTGGATTTGCCACTGTCGTTTGTTCTATCGGCATGGAAAAAGTTAAATTCATCCAATGCCACTGCTGAATCTGGTACTGTTTCGTTTAGCCATGTATCTGTCAGACATATTAAAGAGCTTTCGCGAAATTGATAGAAATTCTTACAGCAACAATCCAGTTCATCCATCTTGTTACACAGTGACCTAACATTTCCCAAAACAACAGGTGGAAGAAAGCCCCGCTGTCCTCTGTTTCTGCATTTTACACGAATGCCTCCCCTTCTGCCCCTCTTTCTTCGTCTAGGTCGGGAATCGCCATTTTTTGTTGGCATGGCGGAAGTTACAGAAATGGCGGAAGTGACATTTTTTTACTATGCTGAGTTACTTGATATCTAAAGTCTAAATTAACGCTGTTTCCCATGAAGAGAAACACATCAGGGATCCTTTTATGTCACTCATTAGAGAAGTATGTGGATTGTTTTAATTGTTCAAAGCAGCTCTGGTATGTCTGTTGCTGTGTACGTATCTCACTGACATATGAACAAGTGTAATGTTGAGTTTACATCTAATGTATGTTAGTGTTGGGTTTATACATCAAAAAACTCGCTGAGAAAATCGGCCTTAGAACATCCATTAGAACTTGAGTGAAAATACAATTAAATAAAACGTGTAAAACTGTGAAAAGCTGAAAACATGCACTGGTGCAATCGAGTCGCCTGCAGAGCAGCGCCCCGGAAGTAGGATATATATATACATGAAACTATTTTAACAATGACAAGATTATTTTTCAAAGAATATTTGATACTTAGCTTTAGATGACCATCTTTTAACCAGGCATTTCATTCAATGTCTTTCTGCAAACAAAGAATTTGATTACCTTTTTGGAACCAAGCAATCTATTCCTTTGATCAAAGTACAGCAACATAGACATGGTTGGGGCAAGTTTGGGGCTGGAATGATCGCACCATAAGACAATCATTTGATCCCATATCGATGGCACCATAAGACAATCATTTGATCCCATATTTGGATTACTCATTTTTCAGAACCTTCAGATAAATCCGTGCTTGTGGAGTACAACAAGTCACACCAAGGCAGTCTGATGGTGAGTTCTACGCATTTTGTCTTCTAAACTGTCAGATGAGCATCACTCATAGAAAATACATCCAGAAAATAAAAGTAAAAAAATTTCCCCCTTAAACAAATGACACAAAAATCAATGTTTTGGGTTTTTACAAT